CTCACTTGTCACACATTTATTACTCACTTGTCACTCAATTATCACACACTTGTCACACATTTATTACTCACTTGTTACACATTTATTACTCACTTGTCACACATTTATTACTTACTTGTCACACATTTATTACTCATTTGTCACACATTTATTACGGACTTGTCACACATTTATTACTCACTTGTCACACATTTATTACTCACATGTCACACATTTATTACACATTTGTCAAAGATTTATTACACATTTGTCACACATTTATTACTTACTTGTCACACATTTATTACTCACATGTCACACATTTATTACTTACTTGTCACACATTTATTACTCACTTGTCACACATTTATTACTCACTTGTCACACATTTATCTCACTTGTCACACATTTATCTCACTTGTCACACATTCATTACTCACTTGTCACACATTTATTACTCACTTGTCACACATTCATTACTTACTTGTCACACATTTATTACTCACTTGTCATACATTTATTACTCACATGTCACACATTTATTACTTACTTGTCACACATTTATTACTCACTTGTCACACAATTATCACACACTTGTCACACATTTATTACTCACTTGTTACACATTTATTACTCACTTGTCACACATTTATTACTTACTTGTCACACATTTATTACTCATTTGTCACACATTTATTACTCACTTGTCACACATTTATTACTCACTTGTCACACATTTATTACTCACCTGTCACACATTTATTACACATTTGTCAAAGATTTATCACACATTTGTCACACATTTATTACTAACTTGTCACACATTTATTACTCATTTGTCACACATTTATTACACATTTGTCAAAGATTTATCACACATTTGTCACACATTTATTACTAACTTGTCACACATTTATTACTCATTTGTCACAAATTTATTACACATTTGTCAAAGATTTATCACACATTTGTCACACATTTATTACTTACTTGTCACACATTTATTACTCATTTGTCACACATTTATTACACATTTGTCAAAGATTTATCACACATTTATTACTTGTCACACATTTATTACTCATTTGTCACACATTTATTACACATTTGTCAAAGATTTATCACACATTTGTCACACATTTATTACTTACTTGTCACACATTTATTACTCATTTGTCACACATTTATTACACATTTGTCAAAGATTTATCACACATTTGTCACACATTTATTACTTACTTGTCACACATTTATTACTCATTTGTCATACATTTATTACACATTTGTCAAAGATTTATCACACATTTGTCACACATTTGTCACACACGTCATACATTTATCACACACTTGTATTTGAGATTGCATCGGTTACCAACAGAGACTACGCCATGTATTATTGCATGAGTCACAAACACACTCAGACAGTGTTACAGCAAACATCACGAGGGGTTAAACTAGGACCAGGACATCAAACTAGTTTCTAGTTTCAACAGATAAACAACTTCCTGGTGTGCAGCTGTGTCCGGAGACTGATTATGCTACAGTGTATCTAGAGCCTGCATACTCACACTGCATTCGCTGTCCGCTGCACAGACATCTTGCTATATCATTGCCAAGTTTAGGACAAAAAGTTATGTTTTATTGCCAAGTTTAAGACAACAAATTGAACAATCTTTCCTAATTTTTCCTTGGGTATTCTGGCATGGTGGGAGATATTACTCTGTTTTTAGTTTACTGTTTCACAATGGATGTATTTAGAAGCCAGCTTTACAATCTACACCATTGTTGAGTCAGGCAAATTATAGGATCGAAAGAAGAAAGAGTGAGTGAGTGAGTTGTGTTTAATGCCGTTTTTTAACAGTATTCCAGTTATATCGCGGCATGTCAGCTTAATGTGGGAGGAAAGTCTGAAGTGATGCAGGTCTTAGATGTTTACCACTTCGGTGAAACCCATGAGCACGGTAATGGTGCTGACAAACCTAGAAACAATTGGGGCGAACCGGGATTCGAACCCACAATCAAAGGTTTCTGGTGTGCCCAAGGGATGCAACTCTGCACAGCACATCGTGGTGCCTTAGATGATGGGGCTACCAGTGCCCCAGTGGGGGGGGGGGGGGGGGGAAGAGGACTGCATCTCTTTTGCTGACCCCCTTTTATGTATTTTGTTCATGTCCCCCAATTATGTAAAAAAAAATCATTATTCCCCCTTCCCCAAATAATTATAAATAACCAGTCCCTAAGTGCATGAGTACCAGCATGTCACCGAGGCCTAACTCGAAGCTCTGCTAGAATTAGGCCAGAGGATATTTTCCTTCCTGATTTACAGATATCCTGCTCAAATAGCGGAGGTGAAATCAGATATACAAACTTTTTCATTTCCATCTCAGGCAGGCAAAACAGCATATTTTCAACAACAACAAAAATGTTTTGCTCCAATTAACATCCTTAAATCTATTGACGAAGAGTAACCTCACTGCCACACGATTCTTGTAGTGATGCTTCACAGAGTAATCTCCCTTGGAAAATACACCATCAATAGACTTAAACCAAACCAGCAATAACAATGTTTTTAATCCTTTGGCAATTCAAGCGCCTATGTGACCTTGAACAACTTGGACTAACTCTTTTAATCAATCTTTACCAATTCCATTTTACTAAATTTCAAAAAGAAGACTTCACCCAAATTACTGATATGTTCCAGTTCATACAAATATTTAAAAATACTTCCAAATATGTCAGTGGTCCTATTCTAGTTGACACCCTCTTGTTTAGAATTACGAATATGGTACATGAGTTATCGTACAAGCAGTTAATATCGCTGATATACAACAAGTCTATATTAGCCAATTAGCTTCTCACAAAGAAGAAACATTCACCAGAAGATATATTTGAAGACTCTGAAATTGATAATATTGAAGATCGAAGGCAATACAATATATGGAAAGAGTTGATATATGCTACTCAACGTTTGATAGGGATACTGGGATTGATCAAGACCAGCTCAGATGCAGCAAATGTCAGTAAAAATTCCCAAATGGGAATTACAAATTTCCCGTTTCGTGTTAACATTGCCATAACTAATGTTCTGGCCTGGTTGAGGCAACTCGCATTTCACTCATAACAGACTATGCTTGTCATAACAGGCGACTAACAGGATAGGGTGCTGACTTGGTTGATGCATGTCATCGATCCCAATTGCGTAGATCGATGCTCATAATATCAATCACTGGATTGTCTGGACCAGACTCGATTATTTACAGACCGCCGTCATATAGCTGGAATATTGCTGAGTGCGGTGTTAAACAACAAATAAAACAAAAAAATAAAGACTAATAACAGGACCCATAAACAGGGAGAAGCCTTATGCTGAATTCATGATTCACTGAATGCAATGTGGCAATTCAATGCTAAAATACCTCTAAAATAAAGAAAATAAGGACTTGAAAAAAAAAATCCCAATTTTGAACAAATAAAAATATATTCTCAATTTGCCTGTAAGGGTCCTGGTGAATATGCTGTCGTATCAATGAAGGCTCATCTTCCCGAGGCAAAGCCGTTAACTGACTGCAAAAGACCAGTTCCCCCCTTGTCAAACTAGGCTGAAATTTCTGGGCTTGATGAGTTATGTCCCTTCTATGTCCCTCCTATTGACCAATCAGCTTCCACCTCTCATATCACTTGCATTTGCTTCGAACAAAATGGCTGTGCCCAGTCAAGACGATCTGAACGATAATCAAATCTATATTGTAATAAAACAGGTCTTACTTTGCGAAGTGCATCAAATAATTGATTAAAAAGCCAAAATATAACTCCATACTTCCAGCCTATTTCAACAAGGATGGAAACTGTACTTTTATAGTCAATTAACTCCCTTGCCTCAGGAAGATGTGGAAGACTGTGGGAGGATTGACCTATAGATTAAAACTCCTTGTATTCTTTTCAGTGTACCATTTCAGTGTACCATTTCAGTGTACCATTACACTAGAGGAATCCATACCTTTATCAGTCAAGTTACTTGTACCAAAGAAAGAAAAATATAGACGTTTAAGTCCATGTCAGGCTTGACTTCATTCCTATCCAACCTGATTACTTATAAATAACCCTATCAAAGTTGAGCAGCACATATGTGTATATACGTATACATATTCATATTAAGCACATATTAAGCACATAATCTTTTCAGTGGCTGGATATGTCTTTCATCGATATCTTAATTATTTCATTTTTATGTGCTCTATATCGCCGTCTATCAGTCTATAGTACGAACCCACCTATAATGCAACCCATCTGTAGACTCCTGCTGATTTATATACCCGGTCTATAATGCGATCAGGGTGTCGTTGTACAAAGCGATCTTAGCGCTAAGGTGATCGGAACTCCCATACCTTAACATAGACTTACGACAGTCGTAGCGCTGAGGTTGTTTTGTACAACGGCACCCTGTTCCACAGAGCGATCTAAGCGCTAAGGTGATCGGAACTCCCATACCTTAACATAGACTTACGACAGTCGTAGCGCTAAGGTTGTTCTGTACAACGGCACCCTGGTCTGACACCAGACCATAGACAGTCTCTACATTTGCAATAAAGATGTGATTTTCTTCCATTGTTTTTTTCTATGATGTTTTGTCAAATGATTAACTCAAGCACATGCCACCATTTTGTGTTGGCCCAGTGCGACACCAGATAGATGCCCATAAAATAAAGTTCGTTTAAAACTGGGAGATCTTCTATCCCAGGCATAAAAACGACCCCTCAATCTTGGAATCAAAAACTATTGTAGACGGCGATATCTGGTATATCGTTTATCTTAGATAATTATAAAAACAACATCATGTAACCAGTTCAAGGTGTTTCATGCTTAAAGGTCAAGAAACAAACAAATTCAACCACACAATGTGTGCAGGGGGATTATGATTAAGAACTTGCGATAATTGCGAGGACTTGTCGTCCATCTTCAGAGAATTTTTTTATTTTGGGCGTAAAACGAGAGAACAAGTTGACAGTTTACAAACCACTCACCACCACTTTCTGTGCATGCTTGTCTTTGGTCAACTCATTGACCGTCGTCCTGCGCCCCCGCTCTGCCGTGGTTGTGGGGGTGGGGCTGTCAACTCGGTTCCGCTTCTGGGAGGGGCTTGGACTGCGGGACCGACCTGGACAAGGAATAACTTCCATTATAAACCTCCAGTGAGATCATCCTATTGTTCTCCAGTCCGGTTAAATCTCATAAACAGGGATGTAATAATATCCCCAGGATTTTATTAATACAATTTTAGTTTAGATTGTAACATATGAATGTTCCTCGTAAGAAATTTATTTTGCATTTTAACACAATGTAATGGAATGTAAAATCAAATGACAAATGTATTCTTTATATTCCCGAGGATCGAACGTGTAACCTTCGTATCTGTAGCCCAGTGAGTGTTCCACTAGGCCTTACACCTGGTACAGGTAGACACTCACCTCCGACTCTAATACACTCGTCCTTGTGACGGGCGTTCCATGCCTTGAGTTTGCAGGCCTTGCTGCAGTAGTACACCTGGTACAGGTAGACACTCACCTCCCACTCTAATACACTCGTCCCTGTGACGGGCGTTCCATGCCTTGAGTTTGCAGGCCTTGCTGCAGTAGTACACCTGGTACAGGTAGACACTCACCTCCCACTCTAATACACTCGTCCCTGTGACGGGCGTTCCATGCCTTGAGTTTGCAGGCCTTGCTGCAGTAGTACACTTCCTTGCACCTGGTACAGGCCGAGAGACGGACACCGACAGACCGACCACACTCATAGCAATACTTCAGCAAAGGTTTTCTGTAAATCACATCAACAACAGAAGATGAAAATTATTATATCCAGTAATTCTATTCCGGTTCCATCGTATCATAGTAATCATCTTAACCAAAAATGAACGTTTTTAAAATGATTAAAAATAGAATTAAAATAGAAAACAAATTTGCATATTTATATAGAGGTAAAATAAAAATGTTTAAGCATAAATTTAACTATGATTTGTTACCTTTAGCCAATTTGCTGGTCAATTTTGAATATTACCGATCACATTTATATGCACAGTTAAAATATTTTAAAGAATGAACAGATATTTTTCTGTGGAAAAAACAGCATGTAAGTAGGTTGGATATCATAGCAGGAGGGATCAGAATCTCATTAAAATCCGATCTTTTACTCTCTGATACGATATTTCTCTGCATGAAGATCTAAGGACACCTCACTGTATCAAGGCTACTACATTCTGATGCATTCAGATGAGCAATTCTGATTTCTGTATCTCAAAAATGAATATAGTCACGAGTTCTGAATGCAAAAAAATAAAGCTGCACTATTATACTGTTGTGGATATTTGACACCTCTTGTTGTTTCTGAGGGCCATGGCATGTACAAGTGGGTACTATTGAGGGTATATTTGTGTTCTGTGACACTTTTTTTATGCAAATTTCATAAATCCCTAATCAAGGTGGTACAGAATGTTTGTTTGTTGTTTATTGTCGCACTTAGCAATATTCCAGCTATATGATTGCAGGCTGTAAATAATTGAGTCTGGACCAGACAATCCAGTGAATGACATCATGAGTATCGATCCACGCAATTGGGATACGATGACATGCATCATCCAAATCAGCGAGCCTGACCACCCGATCCCCTTAGTCGCCTCTTACGACAAACATAGTCGCCTTTTACGGCAAGCATGGCTTGCTGAAGACCAATTCTAACCCGGATCTTCACGGGTGGTGGTAAAGAAAGCAACTGTATCTTTCTAGAAAGCTGACATGTGAAGAACTTTTCTCCTTTTATATTGTATGGCCGACGTTTGCTCCGAGTTCAACCTTCTACGGAGGTGTAGTGAGATCTTCACGCAGGGAGGTAACATAGAGAAGTAAAAGACCCCCAAGAGATTGTATGTGAAGGAACTGCACATCTACTCAGATATACCCTGGCAGTGGAACATGAGTTGTCTCCCTTAAAAATACCTCATGTTTTCAGTCTTCAGCAGTAATTTTGAATACCCTATTCAACATAATAACCGCCCAGGGCGCTCTCAAAATTAGAAATAGGGGGCTCTTATTAGAATATTATTTTGGTGAAAAAAAACAGAGTTGAAAGATAAATTTCGTGGTTTGTGCTGACAGCCTGAAATGTTAATGTACGACAAATATATTTTCCAGAATTTATTTGCCCATAATTAAGGGTGCATATAACACACAACTGTGTATTATACACGAATAAATAAGTCTTGTGTACATTGATCAATCTGAAGGGGTGCTAACTGGGATTGTTCACTAGCCAATATATTAGCATATATCGCTGTGGGCGCTTATTAGAGCGGGGAGCTTATTACGTCAAATACAGTATCATTCACATTCTCCAGGATCAGTTAAATGCTTTCTAGAGTAATTATCAAGGATGTATTTATATAAAAAGCAACACTTGTTTTACACTGAATATATACACATAATCTTTCATTAATAGTACAATTATTGCAATATATATTCTAAACTATGGCCATTATATCACCAAGAACACCATATAAAAAGCTATATTGTTTCAGGCATGAACTAGTCTAAAACAATTCAACTATCTTCTATCATCGGCGAATATGACAAGCAAACATTAATACTGCAATACAAAAACTACCTGCCTTGACAAACGATTCATTACCAACCCAGCATCATATACTTACTAATGTCATTGTTAAAAAAATATGACTTTAATGTAAGAGAGCATTATCAGTATTAGAATGTTTAAAATAAATTTTATTCTGAAAAGAAATTGTTAAAATCTACCGAGTATTAATCAATTAATGATTATTTGCAATAGTTGTTAGGAATAGGGTATTAGGTAGTCCTAGCTGTCATTGGATGATATTATCACCAGTATTGTAACGCCTTGGTAGACAACCGATATATAACTGTGAAGCAGACTAATATACCCCTCAACCTCCTCAAAGTAAAACATACTGTTACTAGAACAAGTCATGTTAAGGGTAAACATCAAGTTATTCACCAATTTGCAAAAAGATTTCTGTATTCTGTTTCTCTCAAAGAGTGAGCTGTTGGTATTTGTTTTAGACTTCATACTTCCATTATACCATCAGGACCCACTTGCACAAAGCGCTAAGATTATCGTAAGCCTATGTTAAACTATGGGAGTTACAATTATCTTAGCGCTAAGATCGCTTTGTGCAAGAGAGCCAAGGTAATGATAAAAAGTCAAACATACACTGTACTCCTAAAAACAAGTTAGAGAACACCCACACTGCCTGCCTGCACCCCTGCCCGTGGCTGGAAACTTTTCTGTCGGGCTGCATGAAATTTTCCTCAGCCTGCCGACTGTCTCGCAGATAATTTTAAGATTACATTGTACACACATATTCAGTTTTATTATAACTCGTCGTAGATTCTCTGGCAATTGTATACCAAATCCTGACACAATTTGTCTCAAATTTCTTAGATATTTTTATATCAATAATGTCTGAATGTAGGAAGGTAACTTTGAAGATGGGCAGGCAACATTTATGGGCTACCTACCCGACTGTCTTTTGGGTTTTAAAATTATTTCATGGCCGCAATTAGAAGGCAGTGTTTTTCAATACCTACCAGTCATGACAGATTAATTATGGTCAAATGAAAAAAAATATGGGTGTTCTTTATAACTTGTTTTGAGTAGTATATTTTCCAACAGTTAACATTTTCATCTATCATTACTGACAAAATATATTCCAAATGTACATATACATTAAAATATAGATACATGTCAACACGTACTTCTGTCCATACGACTTTCATTAGCAGCATGTTTTACTTCGAGGAGACCTGTTACAACCCGCCATGAGGAGAGATCAGTCGTCGGGAAAATAGTACTTGTAAACACAACATATCGTGAACATGTGTGAGAACACGAGGAGTCCTTGACGGTTTTCGCTACAGTGCTTGGATCTGGGGACCAGCTGGATATTTAATTTTAATTATTTTCAAATTAGGTTTATCACAAGAATCCTTTGACTCTCTGTTATGCTCTTGAACACTGCATCTGGAATATCTGACTGTATACGTCTGCACAGGTGGCTCTGTTGTGTTTGTTGTTTAACGTCACACTCAGCAATATTCCAGCTATGTAACGGCGGTCTGTAAATAAATGAATCTGGACAAGCAATCCAGTGATCATCAAGAGTTGATCTATGCAATTGGGATACGATGACATTCATCAACCAAATCGGCGAGCCTGACCACCCGATCCTGTTAGTCGCCTCTTACGACAAGCATAGTCGCCTCTTATGACAAGCCACCCCTTGTAATTGCGACTTAAAAAGTAGTTCCGAGTTTGCAAAATCCCCCCAAAATATAAACAAAAGTAATAAAAAATATTGGAGGTCACGAAAATTATTTATCAACTATTTGGATATGATTCTATACAAAACCAAGTGTTATGTTCACTGCAATGAAAATATCACTTTTCTCAACTTCGGAAACTCAGTCTTTCACACTGAAGTATATAATAAATTCCCTTATTTGTTTCTATGAGTATATATGGCTGTCTCTCCCCATGCATGGCCCTATCTCCCTCTCAATCTCATTAAAATCAGATCTTAGTTCTCGCTACCGCTAAACAAAGATCTGAGGACATCCCATTACGGGTCACATCAGACCGACCTTGCGCGAACTTTAACCGACCAATGGAATGACCAATCAGAAGGCAGCTTTCTCGTGCTTTACGGCACAAATTTCAAATTGGCGACTTCGCTTCGAAACATATTTTGACAAATTCTCGATTACAAATTTGAAAACTAAAAAAAGAACATTCTGGAATGGCTAATAGATAGTCTAGATTGTATGGATTCAGTTGTTAAACCCGTAACTATCGTTCGCAGTTAAAGTTTTCGAGGTTGCATGATTAGAAATCACATTCCGACTGTCACTTTCATAATCTGGTAAGCGATGCTCTGATTGGTCGGATGAAAGGTCGTTCTGACGTGACCCGTAATGGAATGTCCTCAGGTTAGATTTTTATGAGATTGTATCTCCCTCTAGTCTGCGATCTACACCGTAGCAAGGAAGAAACACAGGTTGAAAAGTATCAGCAAACCTGACAGGAGATCGACTCTGAGATCGACCTCGAGACCGACTGAGGCGTTTAAGTTCTTGGTGTGTCTCGGACACAAACACTGTCGACACCCCACTTTTTGATCTAGTCAACAACAACAAGCTCTCTAATGTCATATACCTTCAACTCTGCTGAATGAAGAAGCTAAATGAATCACACACGACAGTCAGCAATATTACAGCTATATCTGGCCTTTTATTAGTTGGTTCAAAATTCAATGCAGGTGGTCAAAATAAAATATAAAAAATTCAACTTCGAGATTAGTTCTTCTACTAATGAATAAAAAACAAACTGGTAGGTCACACAATCAGTGAAGCATGGTTGCGAAACAGTATAAATATTATTATTATTATTTTCTTGTTTGAATACAGAATAAAGATTTTTTTAAGTATTATTCAAAATTTCTTACAAACACCCGATATAAAATTTCATGGTTTTTTTCCATTTCACCTTATACAAAAACAGTCAGCCCAAATATTTTCGACTTTTTTTCAAATAAAAAATTCAGGTTGTTTTTGTCGGTAGGTCTCATTAACTGACTAAAATAAAAATATAAGGCCTTGTGGTGGCCAGAGAATAACAAACCAGGGCTTGATGACATGAGTATCTAGGACTGGCTAAAAAGATCGATAATCGGAATTATCATGGATGGGAAGAACTATAAACGATTATCGATATGAAATTGTTGTCATTGATAATAACTTGCATAAATTATTGTGATGAAATAGAATTTAGATTTATTGAAACAGACTTCTTATTGTCAATAATGTCACTTGTTGAAGACGAAAACAGGGGTAGAAACGAACATATTTAGTCCACTAGTCCTTATAATGATAACATATAGCAAAACCCTTAAAAATGGCAAACTTCTACTAGTCTTTAAGACATCTTAACTATAACTACAGGACTAGTGCCAATTTCTAACACTGCGAAAACAAACTGTTTTTGTTATATCTCAAATGTCCACAAAGTAATGTATGTATAAATGTGTCAATGCTCACCCGTGGTGTGAAAAATGATGATTTTTTCGGGACTTTGTCGCATATTTGTTTAAAGTTACTTCTCCAATATTTATTGCCAATTGATTGATATTTAGTTAGCGATTATCGATATCAATAGCCAGCCCTATGAGGAGCTATACCATCAGGGTACAATGCCCAGAACAAGATCCGCCATTGTGCCCATCGGATCCTCATTAGCTGACCTTACAACTAGCATGGGGCACTTGGAACCACCCCCAGGAACCTTGCACTGATCAGTTCAAACTTTTAGTGAGTGAGTATGGTTTTCCGCCGCTTTTAGCAATATTCCAGCAATATCACGGCGGGGGACACCAGAAATGGGATTCACACATTGTACCCATGTCGGGAATCGAACTCGGATCTTCGGCGTGACGAGCTAACGCTTTAACCACTAGGCTACTCGACAGCCCTCAAACTTTTAGAAATGATAAGAAAGGAAAATTTAATGTTTACCTAAACCTGCAACATCAGTAGTAACAATTTAATTTGAACTGGTTAATCGAAGTTAAGATGTGCTCCAAATGTATTCAGGAGACACATCTTGTAACCGGTTGGTTCTAACAAAAGTCTTTGAAACCAATACTACAGTTTACTAATGCAATATGAAAATACAAATTAACATTTAGTAAATCCACAACCATTCCATCTTCCCGAGGCAAATTATGGAGTTATATTTTGGCTGGACTAACAAATATATGCATAGTCCAATCAAAATCACATCACGAAATCGTCATCCTGTTCGTAAACTTCAAGCAGATTTCTGCCGATTGCAGGATTTGCAAAGCATGTGCACTGCCAACTCGTTGTCAACAGATATTTTCCAAATCTTTTCATGTTTTTAATCAAGGTGCTCATGTGATATGATGCACTTTGCGAGGTTTAAACCCATCAATTACAAAATGATCTTTATTATAGATGAGATGGTCTTGACTGGGTGCCGCCATTTTGTTTGAAGCAAATGCAAGTGATATGAGAGGTGGAATCTGTTTGGTCAATAGGAAGGACTTAGAAGGGACATTACTTGTAATGGCCACTGGTGGTGCTACAAGCCCAGAAATTCCAAGGGTGGAAACTGGACTTCTACAGTCAGTTAATTCCCTTGCCTCAGGAAGATGCAACCAATCAAAATGATGCAAATAATGATAAAACAAACAGGAAGAAAACAGGAAGATTACATCACATCACAAGAAGAGTATCATTGCTGCTACAGACAGAGGTGATGCAACACACATCATGTCTATAAACATAGGGCCAGATTCACCAAAAATCAAGCTAGGTTTTTGATTTGGGAGTGGATCCGTGAGTGAATGTATTACGCTTCAATCAGCAATGTAATAATCAAGTCTGAACCAGAGTCATAAACAAACCAGTGTGAGGTTTTGGGGCACGATTACAAACATTTAACCAGGTGACATGTTGTATGGGTGAGATGGGGAGGAGAGGTCGTATGGGTGAGATGGGGAGGAGAGGTTGTATGGGTGAGATGGGGAGGAGAGGTTGTATGTGTGAGATGGGGAGGAGAGGTTATATGTTTGAGATGGGGAGGAGAGGTTGTATGGGTGAGATGGGGAGGAGAGGTTGTATGGGTGAGATGGGGAGGAGAGGTTGTATGGGTGAGATTGGGTGGAGAAGTTGTATGGGTAAAATTGGGAGAGGTTGTATGGGTGAGATGGGGAGGAGAGGTTGTATGGGTGAGATGGGGAGGAGAGGTTGTATGGGTGAGATGGGGAGGAGAGGTTGTATGGGTGAGATGGGGAGGAGAGGTTGTATGGGTGAGATGGGGAGGAGAGGTTGTATGGGTGAGATGGGGAGGAGAGGTTGTATGTGTGAGATGGGGAGGAGAGGTTGTATGGGTGAGATGGGGAGGAGAGGTTGTATGGGTGAGATGGGGTGGAGAGGTTGTATGGGTGAGATGGGGAGGAGATGTTGTATGGGTGAGATGGGGAGGAGAGGTTGTATGGGTGAGATAGGGAGGAGAGGTTGTATGTGTGAGATGAGGAGGAGAGGTTGTATGGGTGAGATGGGGAGGAGAGGCTGTATGGGTGAGATGGGGAGGAGAGGTTGTATGGGTGAGATGGGGAGAGGTTGTATGGGTGAGATGGGGAGGAGAGGTTGTATGGGTGAGATGGGGAGAGGTTGTATGGGTGAGATGGGGAGGAGAGGTTGTATGGGTGAGATGGGGAGGAGAGGTTGTCTGGGTGAGATGGGGAGAGGCTGTATGGGTGAGATGGGGAGAGGTTGTATGGGTGAGATGAGGAGGAGAGGTTGTATGGGTGAGATGGGGAGAGGCTGTATGGGTGAGATGGGGAGAGGTTGTATGGGTGAGATGAGGAGGAGAGGTTGTATGGGTGAGATGGGGAGGAGAGGTTGTATGGGTGAGATGGGGAGGAGAGGTTGTATGGGTGAGATGGTAAAAACAAACACACACATTTTGGCAAATAATAAATACTTGAGAACAGACCAAGAAATTACTTTTTTGAAATTATATTCAGAAGATTGAAATTCCTTTGGACTGGGGCCTGGAATGAGTCAACTGTCCAAAGGTCACAACTTTTGTACACTCAAAACAAAAACAACTATCATTCATTGTTAGGTGTTGCTGCATGAGGGATGTCTCACCTCAGCCCAATGCTCATCTCACTCTCCTGGTGGACCACGCCGCTCTTCAGGTCGGTCACGCTCCGGTCAAACGTCACCTGACCCACCTTGGAGGCTGTCTTGGACTTGAGTCCCGGGGGAAGGGGGGCACCGGCACCCACGTACACAAACCCTGCGCTGGGGCTGGAACCTGGGAGAAGAAATAGCATCGGTCAACGAAACTCTCATCCATCATTCCATGGCGATCAGAATTTGATTACGACAGGATAGTATAGATGAACCGTTTAATACAATTGTATACAAGTTGCAGTGTAGAAAAATGATGCACTAAGTGAGTAGGAAGGAAATGTACCCCTTGACCAACTCACCAACTCACCACAACTCCCCCTGACTCTATCAACTCTACCCTTCTAGTACCTACTCTCCACAATGACCAACTCTCCAAACACCGAATCTGATGACCACCCTGACTCTGACAACTCACTCCCACCATTCAGCTCTTTCTCACTGACAACTTTCTCCCCCCAACTCACTCCTCGCTCTCTTCCCCCCCACCTCAACTCACTCCTCTCTCTCCCCCCAAAATCACTCCTCTCTCTCTTCCCAAACTCACTCTACTCTCCCCCTACATACTCTTCTCTCCCCCCAACTCACTCCTCTCTCTCTGCCCAAAATCACTCCTCTCTCTCTTACCCCCCACCCTCAACTCACTCCTCTCTCTCCCCCCAACACTCCTCTCTCCCCCAACTCACTCCTCTCACTCCCATAAGCTCCTCTCACTCCCCCCAACTCACTCCTCTCACTCCCCCAAACTAACTCATCAAAACTCACTCCTCTCTCTCCACCCAACTCACTCCTCTCTCTCCACCAAACTCACTCCTCTCTCCCAACCCAACTCACTCCTCTCACTCCCTCCACACACTCCTCTCTCCACCCAACTCACTCATCCAAACTCACTCCTCTCTCTCCACCCAACTCACTCCTCTCTCTCCACCAAACTCACTCCTCTCTCCCCACCCAACTCACTCCTCTCACTCCCTCCACACACTCCTGTCTCCACCCAACTCACTCCTCTCTCCCCCAACTCACTCCTCTCACTCCCCCAAACTCACTCCTCTCACTCCCTCCACACACTCCTCTCTCTCCCCAACTCACTCCTCTCACTCCCTCCACACACTCCTCTCTCCACCCAACTCACTCCTCTCTCCCCCAACTCACTCCTCTCTCTCCCCCAACTCACTCCGCTCTCCCCCCAAATTCACTCCTCTCTCTCCACCCAACTCACTCCTCTCTCTCCCCCAACTCACTCCTCTCTCTCCCCCAACTCACTCCTCTCTCTCCCCCAACTCACTCCGCTCTCTTCCCCAAACTCACTCCTCTCTTCCCCAAAACACACTCCTCTCACTCCCTCCACACACTCCTCTCACTCCCCAAACTCACTCATCCAAACTCACTCATCCAAACTCACTCCTCTCACTCCCTCCACACACTCCTCTCACTCCCCCAACTCACTCCTCTCACTCCCTCCACACACTCCTCTCACTCCCCAAAACTCACTCCTCTCTCCACCCAACTCACTCCTCTCTCTCCCCCAACTCACTCCGCTCTCTTCCCCAAACTCACTCCTCTCTTCCCCAAAACACACTCCTCTCACTCCCTCCACACACTCCTCTCACTCCCCAAACTCACTCATCCAAACTCACTCATCCAAACTCACTCCCTCCACACACTCCTCTCACTCCCCCAACTCACTCCTCTCACTCCCCCAAACTCACTCCTCTCACTCCCCCAACTCACTCCTCTCACTCCCCCAAACTCACTCATCCAAACTCACTCCTCTCACTCCCTCCACACACTCCTCTCTCCCCCCAACTCACTCCTCTCACTCTCCCAAACTCACTCCCCCAAACTCACTCCTCTCTCTCCACCCAACTCACTCCTCTCTCTCCACCCAACTCATTCCTCTCTCTCCACCCAACTCACTCCTCTCTCTCCCCCAACTCGCCTCCTCTCTCTCCCCCAACACATTCCTCTCTCCACCCAACTCACTCCTCTCTCCACCCAACTCACTCCTCTCACTCCCCCAACTCATTCCTCTCTCCACCCAACTCACTCCTCTCTCCACCCAACTCACTCCTCTCTCTCCCCCAACTCACTCCTCTCACTCCCCCAACTCACTCCTCTCTCTCCCCCAACTCACTCCTCTCACTCCCTCCACACACTCCTCTCTCTCCCCCAAACTCACTCCTCTCACTCTCCCAAACTCACTCCCCCAAACTCACTCCTCTCTCTCCACCCAACTCACTCCTCTCTCTCCACCCAACTCATTCCTCTCTCTCCACCCAACTCACTCCTCTCTCTCCCCCAACTCGCCTCCTCTCTCTCCCCAAACTCATTCCTCTCTCCACCCAACTCACTCCTCTCTCTCCCCCAACTCACTCCTCTCTCCACCCAACTCACTCCTCTCTCTCCCCCAACTCACTCCTCTCACTCCCCCAACTCACTCCTCTCTCCACCCAACTCACTCCTCTCTCCACCCAACTCACTCCTCTCTCCACCCAACTCACTCCTCTCTCTCCCCCAACTCACTCCTCTCTCTCCCCCAACTCACTCCTCTCTCCACCCCAAACTCACTCATCCAAACTCACTCCTCTCACTCCCCCCAACTCACTCCTCTCACTCCCCAAAACTAACTCATCCAAACTCACTCCTCTCACTCCCTCCACACACTCCTCTCTCTCCCCCAAACTCACTCATCCAAACTCACTCCTCTCACTCCCCCCAACTCACTCCTCTCACTCCCCCAAACTAACTCATCCAAACTCACTCCTCTCACTCCCTCCACACACTCCTCTCTCCACCCAACTCACTCCTCTCTCCACCCAACTCACTCCTCTCACTCCCCCAAACTCACTCCTCTCACTCCCTCCACACACTCCTCTCTCCCCCCAACTCACTCCTCTCACTCTCCCAAACTCACTCCCCCAAACTCACTCCTCTCTCTCCACCCAACTCACTCCTCTCTCTCCACCCAACTCATTCCTCTCTCTCCACCCAACTCACTCCTCTCTCTCCCCCAACTCGCATCCTCTCTCTCCCCCAACACATTCCTCTCTCCACCGAACTCACTCCTCTCTCTCCCCCAACTCACTCCTCTCTCTCCCCCAACTCACTCCTCTCTCCACCCAACTCACTCCTCTCTCTCCCCCAACTCACTCCTCTCTCTCCCCCAACTCACTCCTCTCACTCCCTCCACACACTCCTCTCTCTCCCCCAACTCACTCCTCTCACTCCCCCCAACTCACTCCTCTCACTCCCCCAAACTCACTCATCCAAACTCACTCCTCTCACTCCCCCAAACTCACTCATCCAAACTCACTCCTCTCAATCCCCCCAACTCACTCCTCTCACTCCCCCAAACTCACTCATCCAAACTCACTCCTCTCTCTCCCTCCCCCCACAGACTCCTCTCCCCTCAACTCACTCCTCTCTCCACCCAACTCACTCCTCTCTCTCCCCCAACTCACTCCTCTCTCTCCCCCAACTCACTCCTCTCTCTCCCCCCAAACTCACTCCTCTCTCTCTCTCCCCCCACACACTCCTCTCTCCCCTCAACTCACTCCTCTCTCCACCCAACTCACTCCTCTCTCTACCCCAAACTCACTCCTCTCTCTCCCCCCAAACCCAGTTCTCTCTACCCCCCTAACTCGCTCCTCTCTTTCCCCCCACTCCTCACTCTTCCTCCCCCCCAAACTCACTCCTCTGTCCCTCCCTGAACTCTTCCTCAAGGCGTCGCCGCTCCCGCTCTACAGCCTTGCCCCGCATGATGTCCCCGACATGTGCCAACAGCTTCTTGCGGGCGTTGTACGTCTCCCGCTCCGCGTGGGTCAGTGCGTGGTAGGGCATGTGTGCAATACGTCGATCCTGGGACAACAGAACAGTGACATGCTGCAACACTCAGGTGTACTGTGGGGGAAGTGAGTGAGTATTGTTTTACGCCGTTTTTATCAATATTCCAGCAATATCACGGAGGGGGACACCAGAAATGGGCTTTACACATTTATCCCATGGGGAGAATCGAACCAGGTCTTCGGCGTGACGAGCGATTGCTTTAACCACTAGGCTACCCCATCACACCCCGGATGAAGTAGATGCTCATTGTACAACAAGTGTGGGATGCAATCGGACTGGGTGAACAAACATGCTTAATTGGATTTGAAAACAGGAAATCTTCAGGAGTTTACAGTGCATAGGAACTCTATTTCTGACAATTATATTCAATGAACACATGCATGCCATTTAGTAAGTGGTCAAATGTAACAAAATTTATGTTTGGGATAACACTTTCTTACTGAAGTACAGATTCTCGTTCTTTTTTAGGGTTGAGTCCTGTCCAGACTACCAGTTGTCGGACTTTCATTTTTGTGGAAGCCTTTGTGGCTGAGTGGGTTAAATTGCAATTAGGTGCCTCACTCTCGAATGGGACTCAACCCCAAAAATCTGTCCTTTACTAAGAAAGTGTTATCTCAAATATAACATTTGTTAAATTATATTCAAGTTTATAAAAGAGAGTTCTGCTGGGAAGATGGTCCAGTTCTCATGGAAGCATATACAGTGAGTCGTGGCGCCTTAGACGACTGAGTCACCCGTGCCCCCCCAACCAGAAATGGTTATGGCTATGTCCTAAGTGACAAAATATAGCATCGACTGGTGCACATATGTACCAGGGAATATACTTCATAACAGCATGCCATGATAATATCTTCTCCCAGGGATTTATCCGGGATTCCAAACTAAAAGCCCTTGGCAGAAAATTGGGGAAAAAACATAATTTTGTTCAAAATTGGGATTTCATGAAATGTCTATATTTTCTTAAATTCAGGCTTATTCTAATATTTCATTACATTAAAAAATGTAAAACTAAACATTAACAGGGTATGAAACTCCCAAAATTTTCAGTCAGACCACAGGACTGGCTAGCTGAAATACTTGCCAGCCCTGACCAAAACCTGCCGGCCCACTATAACCATATCATAGGATAAGCTAACGGGATTTCTTTTTGGTTACATTTTATCATTCATCTTTACATGTGAATTAATGATTATCATCGGGAAATATTTAGAATATTGTCACATATGAAATATAACCCATCCGTCGGGCAGGGGGATTTGAAAATCTGGCAGCCCGAGTTGAAATCAACCCGTCTCGGACGGTCGGGCAGGCAGGTATTTCGAACACTGATATTTAAGACATTGTTGTTCATTGGTCCTGTTATCAGTGAAATAGAAGTCACTTCTCCAAAGCAATAACATTTGTTATTACTATAAATTATAATATAAGTGATAAGTGATAAATCGCAAAGAGTAATGAAAAACGAAGCATAGTTTATTTCAAGATAAAACATTGTTCTATCATGACTTCATTTCTCGAGATTCGAATATGGGATGGTAACTTAATGACGTCATAAAATTATATTTTTTAGGGGCAAGTGTCGGGTGAGTTGTTTCCCCTAGATGTATCTGGGCTACGCAGATAAACGCAGAGGCCGAAAGATTGCATTCAAAAGTCCCGGGGAGAGATATGATAATCAGTTTTCAGAGAAAAGGTACAGATAATCGACGTGAGGATTGTGAGAATATGCGGGAAATACCAAACTTAACCCACCTGTTCATAAAATGGACTTGTCCGACATTGCCGAGGTCGGATTCTCTTCAGGGAGTCATCATTATTAAAATTAAGGTAACTATTTTTAAAGCTTGTACATTTTATCAACATTGTAAAAAAGGCTGTACAAAATTGCATGATCAACAACTCCCACTTGTCGCCTATTTCTTAAATAAAGTGACATGTAAAATTTTAAATTCCAATTTGGGAAGGTTCACTGAGATTTGCTTCAGACTTGGGGCTGAATATCGGACTCTGAGCTGTCGTAGATAAATCCCTGTCTCCCACCACTGTGTTCATGCAAGTATACAGAGAGTGAGTGAGTGAGTTGGGTTTCACGCCGCTTTTAACAGTATTCCAGTTATATCACGGTGTGTCATCTTAATGTGGGAGGAAAGCCCGAAGTGAATCAGGTCTCAGACGTTTACCACTTCGGTGAAACCCACGAGCATGGGTATGGTGCTGACAAACCTAGAAACATAATCGGGACGAACCGGGATTTGAACCCCAATCATAGGTTTCTGGCGAGCCCAAGGAACGCAACTCTGCACAGCGAATCGAAGTGCCTTAGACGACTGGGCCACCAGTGCCCCCAGTATACGGAGAAACAACGAGGGAAGTGTGGCATGCATGCAGTAAAACACCTGCCTCTCACCTGGTGGAACATATAGTAGGCATAGTCCACTGCCGTGCCCTGGATTCTCTTCGGCCCGATCGGAATAGGAGCAAGAATGTTGGCGCCGGCCCTTATAAGTTTGTCCACCTAGGAACAGAATATACCATGAACACACATATCAAAGTCAGTACATATGATTTGTTTTTTTCTTTGTTTGTCTCTTAAAGCCGCACTCAGTATTATTTAAGCTATATGACGACAGTCTGTAAATAATCAGAACCAGGAAATCCAGTGATCGATATTATGAGCAACGTTCCTCGTTGTCGGGGTTACAATTAACCAAGTTACAAAGTCTGATAACTCAATCCATTTGGTCACCTCGTCCAACCAGCATATATTGCTGGAAGTGATGCAGGTCTTAGACGTTTACCACTTCGGTGAAACCCACAAGCACGGGTATGGTGCTGACAAAACATAATCGGGGTGAACCAGGATTCGAACCCACAATGATAGGTTTCTGGCGTGGCCAAGGGACGCAACTCTGCACAGCGAATCAAAGCCTGTCTAGACTGGGCCACCCGCACCATATATTGCTGGGGACTTCTATCCCCACGGACACCCTATTAAAGTGTGTATCACAGTCAGTTCATTTTCTTCTCTGTCAACTTACAAGTTGCAGTCTTCCATTTATTGTCCGCCGATGCTCATGTTCCGTGGAAGTGGCAACACAGAGGGCGCTGCCAACACCGTGAGTCAGAGTGAGGCTGGGGTCAGCTCCATACAGCAACAATTCATCAATAGCCTGCAAAGAGTAAATCAGGACGTACATGTATTTGTTTGTTTGTTTGTTGTTTAATGCCGCACTCAGCAATATTCCAGCCATATGACGGCAGTCTGTAAATAATCAAGTCTGGACCATACAATCCAGAGATTGATATCATGAGCATCGATCCACGCATTTGGGATACGATGACATGCATCAACCACGTCAGCGAGCCTGACCACCTGATCCCGTTAGTCGCCTCTTACGACAAGCATAGTCACCTTTTTTCGGCAAGCATGGGTTGCTGAGGAACTATTCTAACCCCAGGACGTATGTGTTATATCTGTGCAACAATTTACTGCAAATTACACTGAATGTATTGTACAGTCCTGAAAACAACAGTAGAGATAGAAATCCCAACATATATGGTAACGGAAATGTGATGACTGGGAATATACTCACATGATCATTCCCACTGGTGATGGCCAGGGCAAGGGCAGAGAATCCATTGCACAGAAGACTTGGGTTGGCCTTGTGTTCCAGGAGTAGACGAGCAACTCTGCAGACATGCTGAAGTAACAATGTCAGGCCACTTAAAACACATGCTGAAGTAACAATGTCAGATCACTCTACACACATGCTGAAGTAATATCAGACTTCTCTACACACATGCTTAAGTAATAATGTCAGACCTCTCTACACACAAGCTGAAGTAACAATGTTAGACCACTCTACACACAAGCTGAAGTAACAATGTCAGACCACTCTACACACATGCTGAAGTAACAATGTCAGACCTCTCTAAACACATGCTTAAGTAACTATGTCAGACCTCTCTACACACATGCTGAAGTAACAATGTCAGACCTCTCTACACACATGCTGAAGTAACAATATCAGACCTCTCTACACACATGCTGAAGTAACAATATCAGGCCTCTCTACACACATGCTTAAGTAACTATGTCAGACCTCTCTACACACATGCTGAAGTAACAATGTCAGACCACTCTACACACATGCTGAAGTAACAATGTCAGACCTCCCTACACACATGCTGAAGTAACAATGTCCGACCTCTCTACACACATGCTGAAGTAACAATGTCGGACCACTCTACACACATGCTGAAGTAACAATGTCAGACCTCCCTACACACATGCTGAAGTAACAATGTCAGACCACTCTACACACATGCTGAAGTAACAATGTCAGACCTCCCTACACAAATGCTGAAGTAACAATGTCAAACCTCTCTACACACATGCTGAAGTAACAATATCAGACCTCTCTACACACATGCTGAAGTAACAATATCAGGCCTCTCTACACACATGCTTAAGTAACTATGTCAGACCTCTCTACACACATGCTGAAGTAACAATGTCAGACCACTCTACACACATGCTGAAGTAACAATGTCAGACCTCCCTACACACATGCTGAAGTAACAATGTCCGACCTCTCTACACACATGCTGAAGTAACAATGTCGGACCACTCTACACACATGCTGAAGTAACAATGTCAGACCTCCCTACACACATGCTGAAGTAACAATGTCAGACCACTCTACACACATGCTGAAGTAACAATGTCAGACCTCCCTACACAAATGCTGAAGTAACAATGTCAAACCTCTCTACACACATGCTGAAGTAACAATGTCAGACCTCTCTACACACATGCTGAAGTAACAATGTCAGACCACTTTAAACACTGCTGAAGTAACAATGTCAGACCACTCTACACACTGCAGATCGAAGTAACAATGTCGGACCACTCTACACACATGCTGAAGTAATGTCAGGCCACTCTACACCCATGCTGAAGTAATGTCAGACCTCTCTACACACATGCTGAAGTAACAACGTCGGACCACTCTACACACATGCTGAAGTAACAATGTCAGGCCTCTATACACACATGCTGAAGTAACAATATCAGACCACTCTACACACATGCTGAAGTAACAATATCAAACCGCTCTACACACTGCTGAAGTAACAATGTCAGGCCACTCTACACACATGCTGAAGTAACAATATCAGACCTCTTTAAACACATGCTGAACATGGAAGTTTTATTTCAAGCATAAGGTTGAGAATAAAATAAACTTATAATTATTAGTTATTTATCCAATATTGTATAAAATCCAATAAAATAAACATGAAAATAATGAAGGTAGTTGGTGAACATTATTGGTAAGGGTGGCTGCTGATGTGTGTATTTGTTGGACACTCATATGATGTGTGTATTCGTTGGACAACCACCTGATGTGTGTATTAGTTGGGCACTCATATGATGTGTGTATTCGTTGGACAACCACCTGATGTGTGTATCCGTTGGGCAATAACCTGATGTGTGTATTTGTTGGGCAACCACCTGATGTGTGTATTCATTGGGCACAACCTGATGTGTGTATTCATTGGACACTCATATGATGTGTGTATTCGTTGGACACTCATATGATATGTTTATTCATTGGACACTCATATGATGTGTGTATTCGTTGGACAACTACCTGATGTGTGTATTCAGTGGAAACTCACTTGATGTGTGTATTTGTTGGACAACCACCTGATGTGTATATTCGTTGGACAACCACCTGATGTGTGTATTCGTTGGACAACCACCTGATGTGTGTATTCGTTGGGCAATCACCTGATGTGTGTATTCGTTGGACAAGCACCTGATGTGTGTATTCGTTGGACAAGCACCTGATGTGTGTATTCGTTGGACAAGCACCTGATGTGTGTAATCGTTGGACAAGCACCTGATGTGTGTATTCGTTGGACAAGCACCTGATGTGTGTAATCATTGGACAAGCACCTGATGTGTGTATTCGTTGGACAAGCACCTGATGTGTGTAATCATTGGACAAGCATCTGATGTGTGTATTCGTTGGACACTCACCTTGTAGTTGTCATCTCGTGCACAGGCAATCTGTAATGGTGTCCTCCCACCAAGCAGAGCTTTACTCTCCTCCGACAGGACATCCTTGCTCCACTCCTCCTCCTGAGAAAATCAGATGATGATGATGTTGCAGATTAAACAAGCGCTTCAGAAAATCTACTCAGTGTGAGAAAATACTTTAGGTAAAGCAATTATTCATATTATTTTCTGGACCAGGTTCGTTACATAATACTCCCATTGTTTTTGCTGTATGAGTTTTCTTAACCTCTGGTGTGTACATGAGAGTGACAGGGTCGATCGACCGTGAGAACCACGTCTCCTCCACCTTGTAACCACATGCCCATTCGGACAGGAATGGGCTTTACACATTGTACCCAGTGAGTGAGTGAGTGAGTGGGTGGGTGGGTGGGTGGGTGGGTGAGTGAGTGAGTGAGTGAGTGAGTGAGTGAGTGAGTGAGTGAGTGAGTGAGTGAGTGAGTGAGTGAGTGAGTGAGTGAGTGAGTGAGCGAGCGAGGTTTTACGTCTGTCTGTTCAATTTCCTGGTATGGGGAATGCGGAAGGCCGTCTACTGGATTGAAAGTGATAAAGTTAATCTCACCAAGATCTTGTTGAGAAAGGAATCGTCTTCCTCTGCACGGACGTCGGGGTCAGCAAGTGCATTCAGCAGCAGCTCGGTGATCTGCACTCCTTCCTCCCCGGGGATTGCACAGGCGATGTGCAGCGGGGCCAAGCTGCCCTTCTGGAATACACAGTGTATGTCCTCTGTCAACCAGCCTGTTACATACATACCCACCGCCACACGAAACGCGAACCATAGAAACATATAGAGAAGTATGTATGCTGAGAAGAGATGTTTCCAATGTGTACCACTTAATGACAAAACTAACAGTCACGTGTTACCACAGTGTCTTTATTCTTATCACGATATGCTGCACATGATTTCCAAACTTTACACGCTAATCCTGCACGAGACAAATGGTGCATCTCGAGTAATGGATCTATGACGTCACGTGTGATGTGTTCATTGCATTGGGTGAGTGAGTGTGGTTTTACGCCGCTTTTAGCAATATTCCAGCAATATCAGCGCGGGGAACACCAGAAATGGGCTTCACACATTGTACCCATGTCAGGAATCGAACCCGGGTCTTCGGCGTGACGAGTGAACGCTTTAACCACTAGGCTACCAGACCGCCCCTCATTGCATTGGTTCACACAACACACCAGTATGTTCATATGTGCATCAAACCATACAGTGTTCCCAATCTAATAATACAGCACTTCAAGATGTCATCCCTCTGACAGTACTTGCTTGTCGTTCGGCATGCAAAACTTGCACCCCAGATGTGACAATATTGTACAGTCTAGAGTGAGTGAGTGAGTGAGTGGGGTCTAATGCCACTTTGACAGTATTTCAGTCATACCGCTGCATATCAGCTTTGTGTGGGAGGAAAGCATGAAGTGATACAGGACCACATATCTTTGACATGGCATTAATTATGGTAAAGCTACCACATCATCATAAAGTTTGCCGCACGTTTTGTTTTTATTTCCATTTTTTAAAAAACCAACCCAAATCCTTACATATTCAAAGTCCAACGGTAGTCAAATACTGTATTCCAGTATTTTACTCATCAAGGAATACATTTATGTAGGGAGGCCCTTTCCGAGGTTGATTGTACACAACTGTTTATTGATTACACAACTGTTTGTTGGTTACATACCTTATATCACTGTGTATAAGGCGAGTTTTTCATACCTAAAATGAGGGGGTTAAGAAGGGGGGTCGTCTTATACACAGAGTCGAAGATCTCACATTTTTTTTCCAGTTGTTTCACTTTCAGCTTCCACTGGCGATGTCAACCGATAGCCAGCCCAGCATTTGACAATAAAACTTCGCATTTCGTCCTAAAAAACTGTTCCAATAACTATTTCCATACATAAACATGATTTATATCTGTTTTCCTTGAATAAAGTTTAATAATTTCTGCAAATAAAGTTGAAATGACCCTCGCCACAATACTAGTTTGAACAACCAAAAAACCCCCCCAAAATGCCCGCCCGCACTATATTTTCAAAAACCATTTCCTGAGAACCAATTCTTTTATTCTTTAAGTCTAACATGAAGGAATCAGGTGGTCCTTAACTAAACATGCCATGTCCGATTAATTCTAGTGAGAGGAAAGACTCGGTGGTTTTTGAGATGTATACGATAACCACTTCCTACCTCTTTTGGCAGCCTGGCTTCCGTCGAAGCTCCTTTCATGAGGAGGACTTTAACCATTTCCACATCCGCCGCCTTGATAGCAAAGAACAGCACTGGCATCGGAACACCGGAGGCGTTGGGGTCGGCGCCGCGACGTAGCAGCAGGTCCAAGGTCTCCTTCATCCTCTCTTTCCTGTACACAGTAGTGAGTGAGTGAGTGAGTGCGTGAGTGAGGGAGTGAGGGAGGGAGTTGGGTTTGACGCTGCTAACACGGAGTGCCAGCATAATTTGAGAGACAAGCCAAAGGAGATGCAGGGGAAAGAAGTTCAGCATCGATGGATGCAGCTCTGTAGAGTGACCAACTCAGCCTCAGACCACTGGGCAAACATGCCCATCTGAGGACTTGTACAGAATCTTACCCCAGTGTCTTTTATCAACTGTATCAGCAAGTGAGTGAGTGAGTATGTTTTACGCCGCTTTTAGCAATATTCCAGCGATATCACGGCGGGGGACACCAGAAATGGGCTTCACACATTGTACCCATGTCGGGAATCGAACCCGGGTCTTCGGCGTGATGAGCGAACGCTTTAACCACTAGGCTACCCGACCTCCCCTATATCAACAAGAGTCACAGCAAAAAAAAAGCAGGTTTCCGTTTTCTGGAAGCTTTCCGGAAACCTTCCCACTTTGAATACGGCACGGATACCTTCTAGAAACCGTCTAGAAACCGTCTAGAAACCTTCAGGAAACCTTCGGGAAACCGTCAGCAATCTTCAGTTTTCTTGGTAAGTTTCAAATATTTTTTATGTGTTTCACACTTAATTGAACAAAATACACCCCCAAATTTTGACGTTTTTGGGGGAAGGTTTTCGGAACGTATCCAGGCCAGATTCAAAGTGGGAGGGTTTCCGGAAGGTTTCTGGAAAACAGAAACCTACACATTTTTTTGCTGTGAGTCAATGAAGTTTAAGATTCTAGCGTGAGTGAGTGAGTGAGTGAGTGAGTATGGTTTCACACTGCTTTTAGGAATATTCAGCAATATCTTGATGGGGAACACCAGAAATGGGCTTCACACATTGTGCCCATGTGCGGAATCAAACCCGTGTTTTCAGTGTGATGAGCGAACACTTTAACCACTAATCTACCCCACCATCCCTTAAGACTCACAGGCTTTGTAAACCATAGTAAAGAGTGTAAAGAGTAGAGTGAAAATGCTTCAGTGGCAGAGAGATTAGTGATGTCATTTGATTGTGACGTCATGGTCTGCAACTAGCGTTATCTCCTTTGGAAGCCAGGCGGCCTATTCACGAAGCTGGACAAATCTTCACAACTTACAACTAAAATCCCAACTTCCATACCTAGGACAAGTAAAGAGAAATGGAACACTACCTAACCTGTTGATTAAACAGTGTGAGCATGATCTTGATAAAATACTATGTATCCTGACCCACCATGAGCAAGTCAGGCTGCACGTGGATTTCTGAGAGACAGACTTAATCCTTAATAATTAACATGGCATAATAAGTCTTGAAAATCACTGATGCATATTTCATCCTTGAAACTCCCAGTAAATAACCTGTGTGTCTTTTTCCTTGTTATACAGTCAGGAATTCTGGTAAGCTATCACCTGTATACTGTCACCATTTAGGATCTCACATCTTGCAAAACAAAAACGTATCTACCAGGATAAGGAATATGTGGGTAATATCGCAATGGCCACATGTCAAAAACAGACAGATTGCATGACACTGTTAGCACATATCCTTGATGATAGACTGAGGATCTAAACTAAATCATATAACTATAATGTGACAGATTAACTATTGCAATATGAAGAATCGGGTGGTGCTAAACATATTTTGAGTAGTATACCCTATTTTATGGAATATTTGTCACGTGATATATGCAGTGTGTGAAATTAATAGGGGTGCTGAGGTCCTTGAGATTTCTGCTGTAGCATTTATATCTAGGGACCCCTGAAGTCTGTAATTTTTAACACTAGGGGTATGACCTTGACTTTCATGTTTAATTCCCACCACTGTGAATACTCTGTGGCTACTGGCTAGGCATGTCATCGTATATCACAAGCTTGATGTAGTGATAAGTGTTTAAGGTATGGATACTGTATTGACATCATCATCATCATCATCATCATCATCAATCATAATAATAATAATAATAATAATAATAATAATAGGCAATATAAATAGCTTATTATTATAATGTCAATACTGTTTCAATATAAATTTATAAATATAAATCAGTGGTAGAAATTGGCAGTAGTCCTGTAGTCCTTGCTGAACTGCCCAATAGTTAAGGTATCATAAGGACTAGCAGAAATTTGCCATTTTTAGGGTTTTGCTATATATTATCATTATAAGGACTATTGGACTAAACTGTTAGTTCCTACCGCTGTTAATACTAAATTACTAATATTATAATAATATTGAGGTATCATGACATATTTGAGTCAATATATCAACACTAAGCTTCCCGATCAATGACACCCTAACTGTCGCCCATCTCAAGCGTTCCTTAGCATTAGAAACATTAAATCATACAGATGATCACAAGCCGAAACAAGGACAGCGCCTGAGATAATATTTACTCCCAGCTCGGCGGGCCAGTGACTCATAAATGTAGCTAGCCTGCACTGAGGGTTAAAGGCCCACTTTGTAAAAACATGCTGGAGTGAGTGAGTGAGTTGGGTTTAACGCCACTTAACAGTATGCCAGTTATATCACGGCGTGTCAGCTTAATGTGGGAGGAAAGCCTGAAGTGATACAGGTCTCAGATGTTTACCACTTCGGTGAAACCCACGAGCACGCAGGGCTAGAAATTGGCACTAGTCCTGTAGTTCTTGCCAATCTGCCCAATAGTTAAGGTATCCTAAGGACTAGTAGAAATTTGCCCTTTTTAAAGGTTTTTGCCATATGTTATCATTATAAGGACTAGTGGACTGAAACTGTTAGTTTCTACCGCTGGCATGGGTATGGTGCTGACAAACCTAGAAACATAATCGGGGCGAACCGGGATTCGAACACATGCTGAAGTAGATTATAACTTGCAGCAGGATCACAGGTGAAGGCCTACATGTTTTTTTTTGTGTCCCTCATTAGGTTTTATACAACGAGTCGGAGGCAGGTGGTATACAACCTAACAAGGGACGTATAAAACCCCATGTACCCCGAGTGATCCTGCTGCAATGAATTTATGCTACTGACATGTTTTAATGTGACAAGGTAAAATAATTAAACAAATTCAAAATTGATAGAAAACAGCTGTTTGATTGAGCTGAGGTTTACTTGTGCTATGTCACGTGACTTTCCAGTGTCCAACCCAGAATTGAAAATCAAGGGGAGACTTGTCCCCCCCCCCATCATGTAAAAAATAGGGGGGATTTTGAAAAAGTAGGGGGGATAATTGCTTTCTTCAAAAATGTCTTATTTTGTGTTATGTACTGGAACATCATCATATAAAAGTGTAACAGATCTGAATAAAGAACTGAAATGAATGACAATGCTTTGTGCATTTTTCTATTTTGATTAAAAAAGTCTGTAATTCTTTTTTTTTTTGCACGACATGGTCATTCACTATTCAAAAGATCGTCTGCTATGACGATTCATAGTGTGTGATTTCAGAAACGAATATAAAACGAACTAAAATGCTCAAAAATATTTTCAGAACTATTCAAGATAGAATATTTATTGTTTTTAATCATCTTGTCAAAGGTTTTTGATTACTAAACAACAAGATACAACATAATTTTGATCAAAGTTTTGATATGTTTTCTACTAAAGTAAATCAAATTTCGTTTCCTATGCCAATCCTATCGATAATTTATTCAGCAACCCAAGGGACGTCACTCGTGTTCGAACTTCTGGTTGTTATCGATCGGTCTTCGACAGTTGTTTACAATGTTTGCTGTGAACTGTCTTTCTTCGTTTATTGATTAAAGATTGAGTGAGTATTGAATCTAAAGGTAGGGATAAACAGCTGATAAAGTAAGTGACTATACAAGAAATTACTGTGCACGACAGATCGCGCTTTGATTTTTTTATGAGGGGCGATTTGATTTTTTTAAGCGTTAAACGAGCAATGGGTTGGACACTGCTTTCATTGACTGAGAAAAAGCGTGCAGCTTTTAGCATTGAAGCAGGGTATAAGGGATTTATTCTGCCTCTCAGAAATCCACGTGCAGCCTGACTTGCTCATGGTGGGGTATAAGGGATTCATTCACCAGCTTTGAAATATATTCCCCTCCAAGGCGGGATACACAGTATTTTATCAAAATCATGTGGACCAATCAGATTTCATCATTCTTCCATGGAGGTACATCACTATTCATTTTCTCCCTTCTATTTTTGTTGCCTTTCCAAAAATAATTAGCTATTCTAAAAAAACAACATGTCTCAATTTTGGTACAGAATTCCTTAACTGTAACCTCAACCACGATTGGTCAGCTTCTCAAGAAGCACCAATCAGAAGCAGGCTTTCAAAGTTTGTAACACAGCAGGGCCCACCTGCACAAAACAATCTTAGCGCTAAGACAATTGTAAGCTAATGTTAATGTATGGGAGATAAGATCATCTTAGCGCTAAGATCGCTTTGTGCAAGGGGGCCCAGGTAATATTAACCAGGCACTGTTAACACGACTCAGAAAGACAATCAGTTGTGATTTACAATAAATGTCTCTTTGAGTACAGTATATCCACACTGACTGTCAAAATACATACAATAATAAGTGCTGACATTTTCTACCAGACAGTCAGGCAGGTGGGAAAAAATTTCACGTATTCTGACAGATACCAGCCACTGGAAAGCGGGCAGGCAGCTATTTCAGACACTGAACAAGAATATCAGCCAGCTAAGTTCGTTTTTTTGTTAGAGAGCCAAGCGATTCCTAACATGAATATGAAAACCTATATTTTTAGGAGCCAACAGATATCTTAAACAGATATAGTCACCAGTTATGTTGACTATTAGGTAGCCAAGTAGCGAGCAGTAGATAAATGTAGGTTGCCGATCATAGATTTATGTTGTATTTGGCCACCGAAATGGTCACTACTTAGAGGGCTGAATATGAAAAAAGGTAAAAGAAAAATTCTTACAATGATATCTGAAGAGCCATCATCCTGGCTGTCCCGAGCCCGGCACTCTGCAGCGAATGTCGGCTGACAACTCGGTCATTGGTACTGAGCTGGGTGGCACACCTCTCGACCAGTTGCTCCGTGACCTCAATCTGGTAGTTCCTCACACTCTTATTAGAATCAAAATCCTCTGGAATCTCGTCGTCCAACTGATCCCCGCCCTCATTGTCACTATCGATGACTGAATCCCGATCCGCATCCTTAACCTCATCCTTGAGTTCCTCCTCACACAACTCTCCATCCTCACCCAGGCGGGTATCCTCCGCTGAATCGGCTATCGTAACCAGCGACTTATCCCCGGGCTCTCGAAGGCTCTGCATGCTCTCCATGGGGGGAATCCCGCTGTCTATACTCGTGCTGCTCACACCATACTGATCGATCAGCTTATCGGTTTGGGATTTTTCTCGGTTAAGTTCGTTGTTTTGACTAATCTTTGGCTCAACCATCTTCTTTGACAAGATCCCTTTCGGTTTTTGTTCATCTTTGGTAGCATCTTCGTTCACCTCTGGTGGTTTTTCAAGATAGCGCTCAGCTATGTTGTAATGGAATGTCTCTATTGGATAGAAGAAAATAGTTCCGGCAGACAGCGCAGAGCACCCTTCATCATTCAGTTTGTTCACATCTGCTCCGTGATTTAATAACAAGTTGATAATATCAATGTGCCAATTTACCTGAAACAAAAGAAAATCTTTTGCTGTATAAGATTACAAGACAAATATGCATACTGAAAAGGACTGAAATCATCATGTTTATGTATTCATTGTTTTGGAGGTATAATACCACAGTTAAACTTGTGTTTCTTGTTGTATGCCCAACCTTTACTTCAGGAAGGTGAATGTGGGATGCAGGATGCTGAATGTGGGATGGGAAAGGCAGAATGTGGGATGCGGGGTACTGAATGTGGGATGTAGGATGCAGGATGCAGGATGCTGAATGTGGGATTGGAAAGGCAGAATGTGGGATGCGGGATGCTGAATGTGGGATGTAGGATGCGGGATGCAGGATGCTGAATGTGGGATTGGAAAGGCAGAATGTGGGATGCGGGATGCTGAATGTGGGATGCAGGATGCGGGATGCAGGATGCTGAATGTGGGATTGGAAAGGCAGAATGTGGGATGTGGGATGCTGAATGTGGGATGTAGGATGCGGGATGCAGGATGCTGAATGTGGGATTGGAAAGGCAGAATGTGGGATGCGGGATACTGAATGTGGGATGGTGGATGCAGGATGCTGTGGGATGTGGGATCCGACATGCTGCATGTGAGATGCCGGGTGTTGGATGTTGGATGCAGGATCCTGAATGTGGGATGGGAAAGGCAGAATGTGGGATGCTGGATGCTGATGCGGGATCGTGGATGCAGAATGCTGAATGTGGGATGCAGGATCTGCCCAACGTTATATACTTCAGAATGGGGGATGCAGTATGCTGAATGTGGGACGCGGGAAGCCTCAGTACAGTGTGTCAGCAGTACTCACCGTGGCTCCAATGAGTGCCGTGTGGCAGTGTTTGTCCGCCACATCGGGATGCACGCCTCTGTTGATGAGCAGCTCCTCCACCTTCTCCATGTCCCCAGACATTGCAGCTCCTAGCAGCTCCTCCGACGCCAGCTCCAGCCTGCCTTTGCTCTTAAACGAGCTCCGATCTCCATCAATTATCTTTTGAACACTAAATGAAAGCTGACTTGCAGATGCTTTATGCTTGTGAACGTGCCTCTGTAGGTTTATCATGGATGGCGTTTTATTCCAGGCCACTACCTGAACATCACTGCTGTTGTCAGCCTCCGCATCCTTGTAGAACTCCTCATCAAACAAGTCTTTATTAATGGCAAGGCTTCTGGGATCGAGAGATGTGTTGAAGATTTCCGAGACGCGGTCCGTCACAGAGTTGTCTGGTGTGTAGTCAAAGGCAGAAGGTGGGTTCAGGACGCTGTTGAAGGGTGCGTGCGAGTTGCTTCGTTCATGTGGATCGATGTACAGAACATGTTCTTCAGGATTAAAGTCAAATTCCTGATGGTCCTTCAAGGTGAAAGCATCAGGGACCGATGAGCACAGCTTGATGAGTTTCTCCCCAAACCAAAGTCCTACATCTTGTGTGCCATCTTTGTATGTCGTCACCCCTGGGCCCTCTCGTTCATCATTGATATACAGCCCCTGCAACAAGCACAATAAATGATATACAGCCTGTCCAACAAGCACCTTCATTGACATACAGCCCCTGTAACAAGCACCATCATTGATATACAGCCCCTGCAACAAGCACAATAAATGATATACTGCCTCTCCAACACACATCATCATTGATATACAGCCCCTGTAACAAGCACCATCGTTGATATACAGCCCCTGTAACAAGCATCATCATTGATATATAGCCCCTGTAACAAGCATCATCATTGATATACAGCCCCTGCAACAAGCACAATAAATGATATACAGCCTCTCCAACAAGCACCTTCATTGATATACAGCCCCTGTAACAAGCAACATCATTGATATACAGCCCCTGCAACAAGCACAAAAAATGATATACAGCCTCTCCAACACGCATCATCATTGATATACAGCCCCTGTAACAAGCACCATCATTGATATACAGCCCCTGTAACAAGCACCATCATTGATACACAGCCCCTGTAACAAGCACCATCATTGATATACAGCCCCTGTAACAAGTATCATCATTGATATACAGCCCCTGTAACAAGCACCATCATTGATATACAGCCCCTGTAACAAGTATCATCATTGATATACAGCCCCTGTAACAAGTATCATCATTGATATACAGCCCCTGTAACAAGCACCATCATTGATACATAGCTGCTGTAACAAGCACCATCATTGATACACAGCCCCTGTAACAAGCACCATCATTGATATACAGCCCCTGTAACAAGTATCATCATTGATATACAGCCCCTGTAACAAGTATCATCATTGATATACAGCCCCTGTAACAAGCACCATCACTGATACACAGCCCCTGTAACATGCACCATCATTGATATACAGCCCCTATAACAAGTACCATCATTGATATACAGCCCCTGTAACAAGCACCAAAAATAATACACAGCCCCTGTAACATGCACCATCATTGATATACCTTGACATGGCAATCAAAATAACCCTTGACATAACAATCAAGATAACCCTTCACATGACAATCAAGATAACCCTTGACATGACAATCAAGATAACCCTTGAAATAACAATCAAGATAACCCTTGACATAACAATCAAAATAACCCTTGACATAACAATCAAGATAACCCTTCACATGACAATCAAGATAACCCTTCACATAACAATCAAGATAACCCTTGACATGACAATCAAGATAACCCTTGAAATAACAATCAAGATAACCCTTGACAAAATAATCAAGATAACCCTTGAAATAACAATCAAGACAACTCTCGACATAAAGTAACACCATTCCTCTATGGTATAAAAATAACAGTCAGGAGATCTAACACATAGACCTTGTTTTTCTTTGACTCCAACCAATCTTTGATTAGTTTCATTGTCACTTGAACAGAGGAAAGCTTTAATATTTCTGTCACTCAATGCAAATGTACTGACCATTCAAGGAGCTCCTGAACAAACCAATTTTATCTTACCTCAAATTTATCCCCATTTGTAAAGTGGAATGTGCCATAACCTTCCTTTTTATCCATGTAGAACGTGCCTTGGAATGACGATCCATTCGGCCACGTATATAACCCCTTGCCATGGCGCCGGTCTTTGAAGAATGTGCCTTTGTAAGACTGCAACATGAAACAAGTACACTCGAAAATCACCAAGTGCGACATGGTTAACATGAGCAGTCTTCTGCCGAGCATTCATATACGGATGAAAATGAAGATCTCAACAGATCACAATGGCATCACAACATTCACAGATTTTGATATCAATTTGCCTTGTTTATTCATCCATAAACCATATTTGACAGCAGCACAGGAAAAATAACTTCAGTGCTAGATGAATTCTGTGATTTCATGATCACGGAAAGATTTGCAGAAATTGTAACTTACTGCAGAATTGCAGAAAAATTGCAGAATTTGCCCTTTTTTATCAATCAAAACACTAATTTTTCATTATTTTCCAGCTTTACTATAAAGTTTTGCACTCAAACAATGCCCAAGCATTTAACATGCAATTTGATCATACAACATATGGCGAGTGCGTGAGTGAGTTGGGTTTAACGCAGCTTTTAAACAGTATTCCAGTTATATCGCGGCCTGTCAGCTTAATGTGGGAGGAAAGCCCGAAGTGAAGCAGGTCTCTGACGTTTACCACTTTGCTGAAATCCACGAGGACGGGTATGGTGCTGACAAACCTTGAAACATAATCGGGGCTAACCAGGATTCGAACCCACAATCATAGGTTTATGGCATGCCCAAGGGACGCAACTCTGCACAGCAAATCGCGGCGCCTATTAAGCCCTGTTTATACGGCCAAATGTTACTCACATAAGCATATTTACTCCAGGAGTATATTTGCTTATAAGTAAATATACTTTTGCACGACCTCTTGAGGTGAAGTAAATTACTCCTGGAGTATATTTGCTTACGTAAGCAAATGCGTTTACCCGACCACTTTTACTTATGTGAGTATATATACTTATGTACATATATTTACTTATATAAGTAAACGTGGTCGTGTAAACAGGGCTTTAGACGACAGGGCCACCCATGTCCCCTACAAAATATGAATCCTACAATAAAACATTATATGAAATAAACAATTCTCACTTTTAACGTTTTTGTGGTATTATGACTATGTTTACATCTAAAAAAGAAAATAAATATCAGTGACACTATGCATAAGAGTTCATATTAAATTTTAGGGGGGAATGGTTGTTATCTCAAAATAGTGTCATATTAGTTGCAGAATTTTGGTTATTTTACTGCAGAATTCATCAGGAACTGCAACACATACAAGGGTTGATTGTTCTAAGTCCCACATAAATGGAACTGTGCTTGATCACTGCAAATTCTTCAAGTTTGTCCATTATCAAAAGGTCACCATCTTCCCGAGGCAAGAGAGTTAACTGACTTTAAAAGTCCAGTTTCTACCCTTGCCAAACTTGGCTGGAATTTCTGGCCTCGAACGTAGCGCCACCACTGGCTATTACCAGTTATGTCCCTTCTAAGCCACTCCTATGGACCAATCAGATTCCACCTCTTGTATTTGCTTCAAACAAAATGGCGGCTTACAGTCAGGATGATCTGATCGATAATCAAGATCTATATTGTAATAAAACGGGTCTTACATCGCGAATGCGTCAAATCACATGAGCACCTTGATAAAAAACATGAAAAGATTGGGAAAATATCTGTTGACAACGAGTTAGGAGTACACATGCTTTGCAAATCCTGCAATCGACCGAAATCTGCACAACTGTTTACAAACCAGATTTTGATTTTGTTGCGCAATTTTGATTGGACTTTGAATAGACTTGTTAGTCCTGCCAAAATTTAATTCCATAATACCAGCCTAGTTCGGCAAGGGTGGAAACTGGACTTTTATAGTCAGCTAACTCTCTTGCTTTGGGAAGATAAAGGTAACAGTTTTCTGATTTGTCACAGTGAAGCACTTTGCTCAGCTGACTCAAGGTAATGTGGATATACCTCCATGACATCATGTTATGTCCACAACAAAAGATTTCACTGTAACACAATGTGAGGCTTAGAACTTATCAATCCACCCTCTTATCACTAACTGTCGACTTTCAAGTGGTCTGAGATTAGCAGTTAGCAGGCTACACTTGGAAACTAAAGCTTTCTAAGTCAGTGTCACTTTACACTCGAGGGGCAACTTCAAAACAGAGCATATCTTGAGCTACCTATTTACAGCATTAAATGTTTTGTTTCAGTTTAGGCTAATATCAGGCTCTGTATTTTCAGAATAATCTTAACTGTTGCCTATGAACATGAAATTTCACTTTCTCTCCTGCTTCTGTAAGGTGAAGTGAGGGCTTTAAATTATCACGTTCCAGATTGTTTCACTTATACAGCGACGTGCATGCAAGTGTGTGGCTGCTTGTAGTGAGTGAGGCCTCAAGTTAACATAGATACTCTACTCAGACACAGTATACTGACTCCAAGCTGACCAGTCCTTGTTTTAGCCCCTCAATGCCGAACACCAGGAAGTAGACAAACAAATACCATATTTTAACATCTTTTGGTATGAGGGGCGGTCGGGTAGCCTAGCGGTTAAAGCATTCGCTCGTCACGCCAACGACCCGGGTTCGATTCCCGACATGGGTACAATGTGTGATGCTCATTTCTGGTGTCCCCCGCCGTGATATTGCTGGAATATTGTTAAAAGCGGCGTAAAACCATACTCACTCACTCTTTAGGTATGTCAGGGCCAGAGACCAAATCTTTCTGGGCACAGAGGTGGTCAAATATTTCAAATAAGTAACCAAATTTACAATCAATCAATCAATCAATCAATCAATCAATCAATCAATCAATCAGCCTGCACCTAAACATGTTCTGGTCTTTGTCATGAAACATTGGAACAGGTAGATACTAGGGCTGCAACGAAATCACTGTGAGGTGAATATGATTCGTATCATGAATATAGGGTTACGAATACGAATATTTATTCACGATTACAATAACAAATCAGCAGTTGATGTATTATTTATGATATTCAGCGAAACAATAACAACATAAATTATTTGACATGGTTTGTTAATTATTAATATATTATACATTTATATACTGCACTTATCCAGGTACTAGTATCTGCTCAGATGTGACAATGACCAGTGACCACAATACTGTCAAATTAAATATAAAAGTGTGTTGTCTTTGAAGAAATCTATGCATACAATATGTTCTTATGGATATTTTAAGGGTCAGGGTATGTAAATGAACATGACTGCATATTCATAAATATTCAATTCTAGTGACCACGAACAATGGATTCAATTCATGAATGGATACAGTTTGATTCACCGAATACGCGAGTGAATCGTAACAGCCCTAGTAAATATGAGGTGAGGTGAAATGGGGTTTAACGTTGCGACCAAATTATTGCACTTATATAGCGACGTGCATGTACGTATGTGTGTTTGTGTGGCTGCTTGTACTAGTCCGGACTGATGCCGATTTATAGTGCTAGCTCACTGAGATACCATGCTGCAGTTTAACATGAATACCTCACTCAGACACAGTATACTGATTCCGAGCCGACCAGTCCTTGTTTTAGCCCCTTAATGCCGAGCGCCAGACAGGGTAACAACAAGTACCATCTTTTAACGTCTTTTGGTATGACGCAGCCGGGGATCGAACCCCAGACCTTCCGCTCTCCAGGTGGACGCTATTACCACTAGACCACGGAGGCGGTCTCGTAAATATGAAATTGAAACAATTATTATAAATCGAGCAGCAGAGACCATATACCGATGTGGTCTCTGGTTCCAGTACAGTACCTCTTTGTTTGCCCACTCAATGTAGCCTTGACCATGCCTCAGGTCATGGACGAACACGCCGTCGTAACAACTCCCATCTGACCAGTACTGGACGCCTGCAGGACACAGAAAAATCAATTTGAATTTAAATCTATTTTTTTTAAGGCCCCTTGAAGATCCGGGGTAGAATAGGTCTTCAGCAACCCATGCTTGCCGTAACAGGCGACTATGCTTGTCGTAAAAGGCGCCTAACGGGATCTGGTGGTCAGGCTCGCTGACTTGGTTGATGCATGTCATCGCTCCCAATTGCGTGGATCGATGCTCATGCTGTTAATCACTGGATTGTCTGGTCCAGACTCGATTATTTACAGACTGCCATCATATAGCTGGAATATTGCTGAGTGCGGCGTTAAACAACAAACAAACAAACAAATCAGAGGCAATCATAGATTTCAATTATCAAACATGCATTATTTTCATAATTGAAGACATTTTCATGACTTTGTCAACTTTTGATAGGACATTACTATATAATGATTATGTAATCAGTGCCGTAAACCATTCTGATAAAACATTCTTTAAAACATAGTTCACAATCCAATTATTATGCAACTAAGATACAGCTGGAACTACTTTTAAGTTCCATACATCGGTGCCATGTCTGCTTGATGAATAAACTATTGTATGATTTTCCCAATAAGGTCAGATAGGGATTGATTTGAGAAAAACAGACAAGATTTTAAATCAAGGCTGTTTGTAAGAGATGGTGAATAATACGTATATAAATCTTTATTTCAAATAAAAAACCAATCAATCATCGTTTCCTTATCGTTTGGCAATCACACTTCTGTGATACTGTGACCCATGAGGGTCATTTTTTTACCACCTACCGTATTCGACGTAATAAGCGCCCCACTCTAATAAGCACCCACGGCGATATTTTCTAATATGTCGGCTAGTAAACAATCCCAATTAGCACTCCTTCCGATTGATCAATGTACACAGGACTTATTTATTTGTGTATAATACGTATGTTATATGCATTCATAATTATGGGAAATTAAATTATGGAAAAAATATATCTGTCGTATGTAAACATTTCAGGCTGTCTGCATAAACCACGAAATTTATGATCTTTCAACTCTGTTGTTTTTCACCGAAATAATATTCTAATAAGAGCCCCCTATTTCTAACTTTGAGAGCGCCCGATTACGTTACATTGCATTTTAGGCTCAAGTTTTTGTAAACCAACTACAGTAAACTACAGTTATAATGAACTGAAAGAGACCACTAATTTTAGTTCTTTATAACTGAGTCCATTATAAGCATATATACAGGATATATACAGCAAATATCTGGGACCAAAATAACAGTATGTTATATCCGCCAGTTTGTTATAAGCATGTTCATTATAAACGCAGTTTACTGTAATAAAAATAAAAAGGGCTTACAGTAATATTGATATTTCAAGTAAATTCTGACACCACTATCCAACAAATGATTAAGGACGAAATGGGTTTTTTTCATCAAGGGATCCATTATCTTTTATATTATGACAAGAATTCCTTGACTCTCATCGTTAATCTCCAACACAATCATTCAAATATTAACACAAATTACAAGGATAAAATAAAAATGACAAACCTTTTCCATGCCTCAAATTATCTGAAAACTGCCCATCATATTTCTCTCCATTAGGCCACGTGAAAACCCCACGGCCAACCTTCTTGTGGTCTTGGACTTTCCCCTGGAACGTGGCGCCAGTCTTGTAGCTCACCTGCACCTCCTCCGACGTGGCATCGGTCTCCCCTTCGAAGGTGGTGGCTGTGTTGAGGCGCAGCAGTGTGTCGGTCTGTCCGATCGAGGACATCTGTTAACATTCAGCAGAAATTGTTAACAAATTCAACATAAGCAATCACCCATAACAGCTAACTACAATGTCTTTGTTAAAAAATTAAAAAACAATATGTAGCGGCCATAAAATTTCCGAGTCCTGTGATGGGATTCGAACCACGGACCTTCTGATCAGAGGTCAGACGCCTTGTCCACATGACCAAAGAGGTTAACCCTGTCGGCAAGCTGACAAGGTAAGGATGTCATCTGTGGGACGACTCCACGCCCTGCTACATACTCCCCCGTCAACAGAAGGCACATCCCGGGCTGCATAGTAGGGTACTGAGGCTCATTTTGCTCAAATTTAATAGGAACGTGCTCAACCCCATGTTGGGCGCCAATGTAGCGGCCATAAAGTTTCTGAGTCCCGTGATGGGATTCGAACCATGGACCTTCTGATCAGAGGTCGGATGCCTTGTCCACATGACCAAAGAGGTTAACCCCGTCAGCAAGCTGACAAAGTAAGGATGTCATCTGTGGGACGACTCCACGCCCTGCTACAAATATATAAAACCGAAACATCATAACATATAACAGTATATTGAAGAAGTTGTTGGACAGAAGGACAGTTTGAGCAAAAGCAGCAGAGAAACAGTGCACTAAACGCATACACACAAACTTTTTTGTTTTGTTTGTTTGTTTGTTTGTGAGTTTGTTGTTTAATGCCGCACTCAGCAATATTCCAGCTATATGACTGCGGCCTGTAAATAACCAAGTCTGGACCAGACAATCCAGTGATTGACATCATGAGCATCGATCCAAGCAACTGGGATATGAAGACATGTATCAACCAAGTCAGCGAGCCTGACCACCCAATCCTGTTAGTCGCCTCTTACGACAAGCATAGTCGCCTTATACAGCAAGTATGGGTTGCTGAAGACCTATTCTACCCCGGATCTTCACCTATTCCAAACAAAGTTTTAAATGAACATGAAAATATTGAACATGTTATTTGACGGTCGTTATGAGTTAGCTGCGTGCTATAGTTGTAAGGCTAATGTCTCGACCAAATACAGGAATTTAGAATAGAAACGTTGTGTTAAAACAACTTAGTTAATTAGAAATATAGTTCACATATAGAAGATGACTTAATCCACAATTGGTGGGTAAAACTGTTAAAAATAGAAAATTGTGTCGTTTAATGAGATACATTAAAAGTTGGAACTTGTCTCTAGAGTGTGTTATTTTGATTTCTAGGGTTAGCCTCACCCCAGTTGTGTCTAATTTGTGTAATAAATACTGATGATCAAATGAACCAAACAGATGCCCACTAAACACCATGGTGGTGACAAATATTATAATAATTATTCTTTGGCTTTCCATTTTCACTCACATCAGTTTTTGCTCACTGCCCAATCTCCGGTTGTTATATGCATACAAATAAAGTGATGATGTCACATATATTTTTTTGGGAGAAATTGTCTGATGCAGTCCGTTTGGCTTCAGATTTGAACGATGAATTGCAAAATAATTCAAAATTGGGAATAATCTGTTAAATGGCAATGAATACCCTGTACCCAACAACATCTGCTGTTTATTATTTTTATTCCCATCACTGGAAAACGATGAGGGCCAGTTATGTGAGAAATAAACAGAAATGTTTGAAAGGTTATGGTGTTCACCACTGATATTTCTACAGTTTCTGCTGAATTCTAAATTAAATCCAATTTACTGATACATAGAATGCTGTTTTTGAAAACCATGTTAGTCATATTGCCACTGCAAGATTATTCATCACTGAATGTATACCGTATTTTCCAGAAATATGTTAATATAAGAGCAGAAACAGAAATATGAAGAACAAGCATATTAATCATTGATGAATAGTCTAAGCTGTTTTCACATATAGGCCTAGGCCTACCAAATTCCTCCTTCCAATGTTGTCACACTTTAATATCACTACTGCACTGTGATCATTTGTGCTCTATTTAGCTATCCGTCGTCATTAGAACATCCTCAGAATGTATTGTATGATTCAATCATTGCAAAGTACTCTGACCAGAGAGAACACTTCATCGGATGTCATTTAATCAACAATATCGATGATGTCAAAATTTGACTATTTAATAGGCTAGGCTGAGCTGCTTCGATATGCAGTGAGCACAGACATTTATTTTACTCATCTAATTATTGTTGTCAGTTCGATATATTCGTTATATCACAGCCCAATCCATTTTGCATACCTTCTATCTGCTATTGTCACGCACGTCAAGTGTTTTTCAAGGTTTACAACCTCAGCGGGTCATTTCACAAGCACCTTGCCGCCATCTTGATAAACAATCGCTATGCGACAAGGGCGGATAACTCTAAAAGCAATTCATAACAGAGGACCACACAAATGTTTTCCAAGAAAGCGGTGCGGCTGAAGATAAAAAGGAGTTATATATTTGTCATGACTTACCTCTGCAAATATAACGCAACACGGTTTCCTGAATTGATTTCGATCTAATTTTGATTGCATTCGGCTCACATAATTGGGTCATCATACGCCATATATTATCACATTAATGAATTAAATTCTGCCACAATATTAAAATACATTACCAATGTACAAAATGTATCTAAAAGGCTTCGTTTTTATGTTTCTCTCGTTGTAAACTTACTTTGGTTGTCTGTACTTGCGAATTAATCTTTCTTTAGATGAAATCCCCACCAAGAAATCATAAACAAGAATTATCTTCTGTATTTTTAGCACATTTTGTATTTTACAATTAATGTCTCTCATAAATGGCTGAGCGATTGGTTGTTTTTACATGTTTTATATGAGTATGCATACGCTGTGGTATATGTCCATGTAAAACAAGTGAGACAGAAATACAACTTTCTTCTTCTTCTTCTTCTTCATCGCGTGATAAAAATAATACCAAAACAGGGCGAAAGGGACCACTATTATTTCATGCAGCGCAAATATTATGAAAGACACACATTCTAACCACCCGCCTCTGTGCTCAGAATGGAGACAGGCAACCCGGGATGTATTTTAATTGAAGAGCAAAAGAAACTATACCTCTCCGTTGATTTTATCATGTGTTTGATTTTCAATTGAACATATCTTAAGTTAGCGATATTATATCCAAAATAAATGAACTGTACTGGCGCTTAGGCTGCACTCAATAATACGTCTACATAATTGTATTTGTTAAAATAATATTTGATTTTAACTTTTAAATTTAAAAAAAGAATTCCTATACTACACAAGTTTAAAAATAAAAAGATAAATTGCTGTATTTCAGCACAAATGTACAATATTTCAAACATGAGGAAGAGAGTTTATGGATGTCAACTTTTTATTATGAGGAACACAAGGTTTCGGAGTACAGTAAACTACGGTTATAACGAACTCAAAGGGACTACTAATTTTAGTTCGTTATAACCGTAGTTCGCTGTAAGTACATATACAGCATGACAACAGCAAGTAGTCGGGACCAAAAAGTAAGTTCGTTATATCCGTCAGTTCGTTATAAGCGTGTTCGTTATAATCGTAGTTTACTGTATATGCTTACTTCTTCATCGGGTGAATGAATGCTATGAGGCAGAGAGCATATATATGTACATGTAAGAACAACAAAAGTAATAAGATAACAAAAGGTAGAAACTTAACAAGGGAAGCCAACAGATAATTGGCGTCGATAGGCGACAAGCAATAGACAAGATAGTATGGACAGATGGACAGTACAAGGACTTCTGTCTCTCACAGGGACAACCTCCAGTGGAACTGCATCGTCATCCCATTCAACTGTATAAACACTGCCTCCTATCCTGTATATATACTTGTCAGCCGTACTCTGTACATCACTTGCTTGATAACGGTGTTAGAACCTACACCGAAACGTCGCTCCTAATTGTAATAAAGAAGTTGTTCATCCATATTTCTTATCCTTACTAAGTACTCCAACTTCTAAATGCCTATCAAAGAAGGCAGTCGTCAGTCGTCTAAGGCGCTGCGATTCGCTGTGCAGAGTTGCGTCCCTTGGGCACGCCAGGAACCTATGATTGTGGGTTCGAATCCTGGTTCGCCCCGATTATGTTTCTAGGTTTGTCAGCACCATACCCGTGCTCGGGGGTTTCACCGAAGTGGTAAACGTCTGAGACCTGCATCACTTCGGGTTTTCCTCCCACATTAAGCTGACAGGCCGCGATATAACTGTAATACTGTTAAAAGCGGCGTTAAACCCAACTCACTCACTCTTTCTGCGTACGTTCACACTGTGCTATTAGAAGATTTTCTGACAGTGTGCTTCAATATGGCCATGAGTATATACTTTCTTTAACCGTTATAATGTTATATGTTTGAATTTTTGTACCCGGCCCCTAGACTTACGCTTATTTTAGTCACTGAAAATATTTAAGTTTGAGAGAAACAAATACAGTAAACTACGTTTATAACGAACACGCTTATAACGAAATAACGGATATAACGAACTCACCTTGTGGTCCAGTGTGTACTCTGGCAACGATAATGTAACTCCTTTTAATTGAAAGGGATCCCCAGTGAGATGGGACGTTCAGAGCCTGAGGAAAATCTAGACTTGCTTCATTTATATGTTAGGGAAAATATTGGTTCAGGGACTGTGAGACAGACTACCCGGCCCCCAGTGGGAGTATACGTACAATATCATTTACCTTTATAGATCTATCGCAGAAAGTATGTGGAAAGCAAGTAATATAATACCCCTGCCTTAGCTCTCCCACTGCATAGCTATGTCTGTTTACAGCCAGTGCCTATCACAGTTCATTAGGGGGCGGTCGGGTAGCCTAGTGGTTAAACGCCGAAGACCCGGGTTTGATTCCCGACGTGGGTACAATGTGTGAAGCCCATTTCTGGTGTCCCCCGCCGTGATATTGCTTAGAATATTGCTAATAGCTGCGTAAAACCACACTCACTCACTTAAATAAAGGTGTTTAAATGTTTGGGAACATGTTGGTTGTTTATTTTCATGTGGCCTTTTCCTTATTTTTTACAACATGCTGAGATCATTTCAAATTGTCAAACTATCAGCGCAAAAATAAAACCTTTTAACTGCAGAATTGTGCTTAAAAGGAGGAGGGTGAGTAGTGGTTTGATATAGGTTTTATACTTTGAGAACCTATGATTGTGGGTTCGAATTCCGGTTTGCCCCGATTATGTTTCTAGGTTTGTCAGCACCATACCCGTGCTCGTGGGTTTCACAGAAGTGGTAAACGTCTGACACCTGCACCACTTCGGGCTTTCCTCCCACATTAAGCTGACACGCCGCGATATAACTGGAAACTGTTAAAAGCAGTGTTAAACCCAACTCACTCACACACACACACACACACGCACGCACGCACGCACGCACACACACACACACACACACACACACACATAGTTTGAGTGATTCTGACCCTTCATATTCACAATCTACCTCTTAAACCAAAACGGAGAATTCACGAGAATCAACATATTTGAGTGATTTCTCCGGCTTAAACCATGTTATGGTTGATGTATAATTTCGATCAAATTTTGAATAATGACCTATAGTTTTTTGTTTGTTTGTTTATAGTTTGGAGAGCATTTTGTGCTCTCTTCTCTTTATTTGGTTGTAAGAGAGTGTGACGTGTTTCCTTCTCCAGTAGCTTCGACACATTGAAATGAAGCTTTACTTCAAGCAATGTTTAGAAATGTAGAAAGTCCAGCAAATCGGTCAGTATTATTTAAGCCAGAGGTTATACATAACTGACCCGAAACTAGTGTCGATTACTCGAGAAAATATTGTTACCTAAGTCAATTATTCGATAGTATATGATACGTAAGTATCCTCTACGTAGATGATACTTTTTTAGGCTGTGGCACTAATACGCTTCCGTAGATAACAAAATGTTTGTAATGCTAACTAACTAGTGGTTAAAGCGTTCGCTCGTCACGCTGAAGACCCGGGTTTGATTCCAGACGTGGGTACAATGTGTGAAGCCCATTTCTGGTGTCCCCCGCTGTGATATTGCTGGAATATTGCTAAAAGCGACAAAAAACACTAGTCACTCAAGCGCGGCAGCGGATGAGGAACTCGGGAATGTCTGCTGGCCTCAGGTGTTTGACCTGAACGACAAAAGCCACCATAAACACGAGCGTTTCCTAACGTAAACGTTTATTTTCGTTTTGTGAAATGGTACTAGACATCTTGTCTCTGAAATTAAAATATTTTACAGAAGAAATCCATTGTTAAATTATCTTAATAAAATATAATGAAAAGAAGCCAAAGATTCTCTTCATTTTCGGCCCGAAACTGCAGTAGTCTAGACTTGCCAACTATTAAAGACTTGCATGGGCTGTATTGGATTTATTTGTTTTAGACCGTGATTCGTGTGATTGATTAAACTGGTACAGGTTATAATTATATGGTCACTGGTTTAAATCATAATTTCTAGCTTATATAAATAATAAGAACAAGTTGTCCCTATAAGAGCCTGGCGTCCATAGAGTACTGTCCGCTTAACTAGACTTGCCTTTTATAAGGATAGAACTACTACACACCCATGGACTTATTATTCAGTACAGCCTTGGAGCAAGGCTAATCTTATCCTGACTCACGAGGAAGTTAAATCGAAACCACAGGAAACAAACACGCTGACATCAAAATCTTTTCAGGGATTTTTGTAACCAAGTTAATCTTATGAAAGAAGGGGCGGTCGGGTAGCCTAGTGGTTAAAGCGTTCGCTCGTCACGCTGAAGACCCGGGTTCGAATCCCGACATGGGTACAATGTGTGAAGCCCATTTCTGGTGTCCCCCGCCGTGATATTGCTGGAATATTGCTAAAAGCGGCGTAAAACCAAACTCACTCACTCACTTATGAAAGAAACCCTCATAACGATGTTATTTATATTTTCATTAACGTTTATTTGTTTCAAGTTCGCCTCTACATTATCACTATATTTTGATGATTTGTCTTCTACGTCAGGACACAGGTTGAGATCCTGACCTTTCCCACTAAAATCAGATTTTTTCTCCGATACACCTTTCACGCAGAGGGAGTAATAGGTCCTGACTATGTGATCCCCTAGGAAGTCTGTCATACAGACCCTGAATCAAATATATCCAATACAGCCCACGCAAGTCTATAATATTTGGCAAGTGAAGCATATTTCTGTATCAGAAAATGATCAGTCTCTGGGCTCTTTTTTTATAATATTTTATAACTATAATTTAACAACTGTCTTTTACCTGAAAATAGTTCATTTCAGAGACTAGTTGTGGGTAACGCCACAGTGTGAGACTTAGGCATCTGTGTGTCATCGCACATGACAGAGTGACAACCCGACCCAGACAAAATGCGACCTCACTCCCTTGTAAGCAGGTGATCTCCCGAACAGAGCAACAAATCCTTGACACACTACAGCAAGTTTTAAAACGGTTATAATCCCCCACCCACCCACAGAATAAGAAAAAAGCCAAACATGCACAGGAACTGTACAAGGATGGATACATTTGAAACCACTGAAATTAGTGAGTGAGTGAGTGAGTTGGGTTTAACGCCGCTTTTAACAGTATTCCAGTCATATCACGGCGTGTCAGCTTAATGTGGGAGGAAAGCCCGAAGTGATGCAGGTCTCAGCCGTTTACCACTTCGGTGAAACCCACGAGCACAGGTATGGTGCTGACAAACCTAAGAAAATAATCGGGGCGAACCGGGATTCGAACCCACAATCACAACCTTTGCCTGAGGTATTCATATATCTGTCAACTGTTACCTGATGTATTCATATATCTGTCAACTATTACCTGATGTATTCATATATCTGTCAACTGTTACCTGATGTATTCATATATCTGTCAACCGTTACCTGATGTATTCATATATATGTCAACTGTTACCTGATGTATTCATGTATCTGTCAACGGTTACCTGATGTATTCATTTATCCGTCAACTGTTACCTGAAGTATTCATATATCTGTCAACTATTACCTGTTGTATTCATATATCTGTCAACTGTTACCTGATGTATTCATATATCTGTCAACTGTTACCTAATGTATTCATATATCTGTCAACTGTTACCTGAGGTATTCATATATCTGTCAACTGTTACCTGTTGTATTCATATATCTGTCAACTGTTACCTGTTGTATTCATATATCTGTCAACTGTTACCTGAGGTATTCATGTATCTGCCATCTGTTACCTGAGATATTCATATATCTGTCAACTGTTACCTGAGATATTCATATATCTGTCAACTGTTACCTGAAGTATTCATATATCTGTCAACTGTTACCTGAGATATTCATATATCTGTCAACTGTTACCTGAGGTATTCATATATCCGTCAACTGTTACCTGAGGTATTCATATATCTGTCAACTGTTACCTGAGGTATTCATGTATCTGTCAACTGTTACCTGAGGTATTCATATATCTGTCAACTGTTACCTGATGTATTCATATATCTGTCAACTGTTACCTGATGTATTCATATATCTGTCAACCGTTACCTGAGGTATTCGTATATCTGTCAACTGTTACCTGAGATATTCATATATCTGTAAACTGTTACCTGATGTATTCATATATCTGTCAACTGTTACCTGATGTATTCATATATCTGTCAACTGTTACCTGATGTATTCATATATCTGTCAACTATTACCTGAGGTATTCATATATCTGTCAACTGTTACCTGAGGTATTCATATATCTGTCAACTGTTACCTGAGGTATTCATGTATCTGTCAACTGTTACCTGAGATATTCATGTATCTGTCAACTGTTACCTGAGATATTCATATATCTGTCAACTGTTACCTGATATATTCATATATCTGTCAACTGTTACCTGATATATTCATATATCTGTCAACTGTTACCTGATGTATTCATGTACCTGTCAACTGTTACCTGAAGTATTCATATATCTGTCAACTGTTACCTGATGTATTCATATATCTGTCAACTGTTACCTGATGTATTCATATATCTGTCAACTGTTACCTGATGTATTCATATATCTGTCAACTGTTACCTAATGTATTCATATATCTGTCAACTGTTACCTGATGTATTCATGTACCTGTCAACTGTTACCTGAAGTATTCATATATCTGTCAACTATTACCTGAAGTCTTCATATATCTGTCAACTGTTACCTGATGTTTTCATGTACCTGTCAACTGTTACCTCAAGTATTCTTATATCTGTCAACTGTTACCTGATGTATTCATATATCTGTCAACTGTTACCTGATGTATTCATGTATCTGTCAGCTGTTACCTGATGTATTCATATATCTGTCAACTGTTACCTGAGATATTCATGTCCCTGTCAACTGTTACCTGAGATATTCATTTACCTGTCAACTGTTACCTGATGTATTCATATCTTTGTCAACTGTTACCTGAGATATTCTCGTATCTGTCAACTGTTACCTGAGATATTCTTGTATCTGTCAACTGTTACCTGAAGTATTCATGTCTCTGTCAACTGTTACCTGAGATATTATCGTGTCTGTGAACTGTTACCTGAGATATTCATGTACCTGTCGACTTTTCCAGTGCTATACATTTCAAAATGAAACAGAAACAATATTACTATTCAGAAAACCTTATTCTTCAATCATGATATCCACGTAATCTTAAAATGAACAAATGTGTGTTTGTCTGTGTGTGCGTGTGTGTGTATGTGTTCATACGTGTCATAACGTCTATTGGTGTGAGGGGTTGCCCGAACCAGGGTTGCCCGAACGCTTTATGTATTCGAAAAAAATGAAGCTGTCGAAAACAGGATTAAAAGAATAAAATTGACCTTGCCTTATAATATAGTTTAATGTCATTACATGGTAATTCATTACACAGCAATACAGATTTGTAAAAGCAATATCAAATCCCTGCAGGAAAAGTATTGTTTCTACGTAAATGCAAGTGCACTGTACCCCACACTGACTTCAAATATCTTCTGCAGAAATAAATAGACAAGAAGCAAAACACACTAAACTTAACTACATCATGAAATGAATGTGTTATTATTATAATCCTCGTATATTTGAAGGGAAACTGAAAGGGACGCCTAATAAGGACCGGAAGTGTCTGGAAATATACACAAGTGTGGTGTTGACAAATCGAGATAAATAATCAGGGCAATAAATATATAATCGGGAGCCTGGAATTTTATCGGAATGTTCCAGAAAATGCTTGAAACAAATAATAATGTAGAGACTGTTGACACCAAAAGACATAATCTGCTACAAAACCACGTTGTGTGAAGAAGCTTTTAAAAAAATCTTTTTGTTTTTCAAGGTGAGGCAGAATATCAACTGGTTGTGGGCCCGAAGCTTGAGTTACTGTTCCACCTAAGACCGGTCCAGACTGATTTCACCACGCAGAGACTCGTGGCCGCATGAACTACATTAAGGCGTTGTTGGTGTGATGTGGAAGGAAAAGTTGGCGCGGACTCGAACTGATGACATGTCCCCTCGGTGCAGTCTGTTTAGCTCCAGTTCGTCAACGGCATCGTAGCCCAGAAAAAGACCTATAAAGAAATGATCAAATCTATTTATTTATTTACACCTTGTCATCATAGATACAGTGTCATTTGAGAACTTACCATCGTAGGTCATACAAGATACAGTGTCATTTGGTTACTTACCATTTAGGTCATACAAAATATAGTGTCTTTCGATAACTTGCCATCGTGGGCCATAAACGATGTAGTGTCATTTGACAACTTACCATCATAGGTCATACAAGATACACTGTCATTTGATAACTTACCGTCGTAGACCATACAAGATATATAGCGTCATTTGATAAATTACCATTGTGGGTCATACAAGATATAGTGTCATTTGATAACTTACTATTGTGGGCCATACAAAATATAGTGTCATTTGATAACTTACCATTGTGGGTCATACAAGATATGGTGTCATTTGATAACTTACCATCGTAGGTCATACAAGATAAAGTGTCATTTGATAACTTACCATCGTAGGTCATACAAGATATAGTGTCATTTGATAACTTACCATCGTAGGTCATACAAGATATAGTGTCATTTGATAACTTACCGTCATAGGCCATGCAAGATAGAGTGTCATTTGATAACTTACCATCGTAGGTCATACAAGATATAATGTCATTTGATAACTTACCATCACAGGCCATACAAGATATAGTCATTTGATAACTTACCATCACAGGCCATACAAGATATAGTCATTTGATAACTTACCATCATAGGCCACGGACTCAAGAAAGGAGGCATTGCTACCGTTTGAAGACATCAAGAATAAACATGGACTGTTGGATTTCATAATCGTCAGGCTGGAATCAATATTTTTCTAAAAGAAAGAACACGACCAGACAATCCAGTGATTGACATCATGAGCATTCTAACTGGGCAACAATTGGGAAATGATGACATGCTTATCAAACCAAGTCATCGAGCCTTACCACCCTATTAATGAAGTTTCCCCTTTAAGACAAATAAGTTGGTGGGTGGGTGGGTGAGTGAGTGAGTGAGTGAGTGGATGGGTGGGTGGGTGGGTGGGTGAGTGAGTGAGTGAGTGAGTGAGTGAGGTACAACGCCTATTTGTTTTTTTACAGTATTCAAATTATATCATGGCATGTCAGTTTAATGTGGAAGAATTTACCACATCGGTGAAACCACGAGCACGAATGGTGACATACCTAGAAACATAATCGGGGCGAACTGTGATTTGAACTGTACAGCGAATTGTGGCGTGGGTCAACCTGTCCACTCTATAGATTTGAAAGATATGTCATAAGAAAAGTTCAGATTATCAGTCTTGTTGTTTCTTCAGGAAATTTTAGTTTAGTCCCACAACAAAGGTCAAAATATGTTCAAACTTTATATAGTTAAAAACAGAATGTATGTGTTCAGTGTCACAATTAAATAAACTCATATCAACTTTTACTTATGAACAAAAAAGGCTGAGTAAAGGTCATAAATTTGTTATCAAACATGGCTTCCGCGGCGGCCATATTGAAAATATGATTTGAACCTCTTGAACAAAGTTGGGTATCAAGACAAGCTGGCCATGACTAAGCTCAGGAGAGGTAACTGGTGAATGAAGATACCCATTAGGTGAGGTGAGGTGAAATGGGGTTTAACGTCGCGTCCAAGATTATTGCACTTACATAGCGACGTGCATGCATGTGTGTGTGGCTGCTTGTCTGCTTGACTGATGCCGATTTATAGTGCTAGCTCACTGAGATGCCATGCCGCAGTTTTAACATGAATATCCCACTCAGACACAGTATACTGACTCCGAGCCGACGAGTCCTTGTTTTAGCCCCTTAATGCCGAGCGCCAGACAGGGTAACAACAAGTATCATCTTTTAACGTCTTTTGGTATGACGCGGTCGGGGATCGAACCCCGGACCTTCCGCTCTCCGGGCGGACGCTCTACCATTAGACCACGGAGGCGGTCGATACCCATTAGGAGTTGTATGGTCATAATATTAGTTATGGTGTCATATTAGGATAACAGAAAAAATATTGGACGATGCAACTAAAGACACCATAACAAATTGATTATGCCGAAAAGTTTACACTACAGTAAAATACGGTTATAACGAACACGCTTATAACGAACTGACGGATATAACGAACTTACTTTTTAGTCCCGACTATTTGCTGTAGTTATGCTTTATATATGCTTATAACGAACTACGGTTATAACGAACTAAAATTAGTAGTCCCTATGAGTTCGTTATAACCGTAGTTCGTTATAACCGTAGTTTACTGTATTTGGTTTCTTTGTTGCACATGTCACGTCAATGTTTAAAAGTCAAAACTCAAACCTCAGAGGCCAAACCTTGTTGATGATTTAATTTTATAAAATCTTTATTAAAGTCACGAACGTGATCCCAAAAAAACTTAAACGTCCTTGCACATCAAAATTAATGATAATAAAACACAAAACAATGTCGAATAATTTTCATGTGAAATATGTGAGGTGGTTGTTGGAAAATCCAATTGGCTGTTACTGACATTATACGGTCTCATATTAGGTCACTAACAACCATCTTGGATTTTTACTGACGGTATACGGGCTCATGTCGGGTTGGTAGTTCTGGTCTCTGATTGGTCAATTTCACTTTGAGGCATAATAAGGGCTCATGTGGGGTCAGTAGATCTGCTCTGTGATTGGTCAATTTCACTTTGAGGCATAAAAAGGTCATGTGTACCTTGACCAGGGAGAGTTTCTTGGACCTCATGTTGCACATCAGGAACAGCTGACATCTTACACTCTGAAATGCCACCACGCTCTTCCCGTTGTCATCCTTAGAATCCTTCACAGCATAGCTGTACATCCAGAATTTATCTGTAAAGAAATAGTTTTGGTGTTAGTGTGCAATATTACCTTGAATGAATACCATGTTGGCCATGTTTGTGACCCTGTGTGTTGAACCTGTCAGAAAGGTCAAAATATGTCCCGTTATTGTTGGAAGTATTTTGGATGCCATTTTGGTACCCCTATAAAAAATACCTGAGACTTGAAGCATGGGTGGCCTGAGATTGGTGCATGGGTGACCTGAGACTTGGTGCATGGGTGACCTGAGACTTGAAGCATGGGTGACCTGAGACTTGGTGCATAGGTGACCTGAGACTTGGAGCATGGGTGACCTGAGACTTGGTGCATAGGTGACCTGAGACTTGGTGCATTGGTGACCTGAGACTTGGTGCATGGGTGACCTGAGACTTGGTGCATGGGTGACCTGAGACTTGGTGCATGGGTGACCTGAGACTTGATGCATGGGTGACCTGAGACTTGGTGCATGGGTGACCTGAGACTTGGTGCATGGGTGACCTGAGACTTGGTGCATGGGTGACCTGAGACTTGGAGCATAGGTGACCTGATATTTGGTGCATGGGTGACCTGAGACTTGGTGCATGGGTGACCTGAGACTTGGTGCATGGGTGAATAATGGCGTGTTGGATGGGTTAGCTATTGGGACCCTGTGTCCCCTCTCTGAAAGAAACCTACATGTATAAATATACCTGATACTTGGTGCATGACTGACCTGAGACTTGGTGCATGGATGACCTGAGACTTGGAGCATGGGCGACCTGAGACTTGGTGCATAGGTGACCTGAGACTTGGTGCATGGGTGACCTGAGATTGGTGCATAGGTGACCTGAGACTTAATGCATGGGTGACCTGAGACTTGGAGCATGGGTGACCTGAGACTTGGTGCATAGGTGACCTGAGACTTGGTGCATGGGTGACCTGAGACTTGGTGCATAGGTGACCTGAGATTTAATGCATGGGTGACCTGAGACTTGGTGCATAGGTGACCTGAGACTTGGAACATCGGTGACCTGGGACTTGGTGCATAGGTGACCTGAGACTTAATGCATGGATGACCTGAGACTTGGAGCATGGGTGACCTGAGACTTGGTGCATAGGTGACCTGAGACTTGGTGCATGGGTGACCTGAGATTGGTGCATAGGTGACCTGAGACTTGGTGCATGGGTGACCTGAGACTTGGTGCATAGGTGACCTGAGACTTAATGCATGGATGACCTGAGACTTAATGCATGGGTGACCTGAGACTTGGTGCATAGGTGACCTGAGACTTGGAGCATGGGTGACCTGAGACTTGGTGCATGGATGACCTGAGACTTGATGCATTGGTGACCTGAGACTTGGTGCATGGGTGACCTGAGACTTGGTGCATAGGTGACCTGAGACTTGGTGCATAGATAACCTGAGACTTGGTGCATGGGGGACCTGAGACTTGGTGCATGGGGGACCTGAGATTTGGTGCATGGGTGACCTGAGACTTGGTGCATGGGTGACCTGAGACTTGGTGCATGGGTGGGTAGAGACTTGGTGCATGGGTGGGCAGAGACTAGGTGGATAGGTGACCTGAGACTTGGTGCATGGGTGACCTGAGACTTGGTGCATAGGTGACCTGAGACTTGATGCATTGGTGACCTGAGACTTGGTGCATGGGTGAATAGAGGCGTGTTGGATGGGTTAGCTATTGGGACCCTGTGTCCCCTCTCTGAAAAGAAACCTACATGTATAGATATACCTACAGCATTCCAGCTGCCCACGCTGCTGTTCCATGACTGCTCTGTTGCCAAGTGCACGGAGGAAGTGATGTATCTGCACTCCGTGAGCTACCTTCACGCATGTTTTGCCGAGATATGTCATAACTGTCAGCGAACTGTTATACCTTATCATCTTGCTAAACTTGTATGTGACATCAATGATGTGGGCAAATACTTTGTCTACAAATAACAAAAATAATTATTAATGATAGACTTTTTGTCCATGTTCAAAGGCATTTCTTAGAAGTGGATGGATGTCAAAGTAGGCAAAGATTATGGGTAAAAAGGTGTTTATATACTGTAATAACAACCTTTATGGTAAAGATCCTTATACCGTTGTCAATCAAGACTGACAACGGCGTAAGGATCTATACCGAAACGTTGCTATTACAGTATAATAATGAAGTGGTGGTGTCCATTAATAATTTCCATTTATACTCTTCATATGTACCCTCTGTTAATACCCTCCATTAATATCCTTCATTAATACGTTTATTCGTACTTTCCATCAATAACCTACTGGTATTAATATCTACCAGTTGTACCCTCAAGTAATACCCTCCATTATTAATTTTTATTAGGACTGTCCGTTAATACTGTCCGCTTTTTATACCCTCCATTTATACCCTTAACTAATGTCTTCTATTTATACCCTCTGTCAATACTCTATATTATTACTCTTCATTACGACTGTCCATTTATACCCTACATTAATACCCTCCATTAATACCCTCCATTTATACCTCAATTAATACCTTCCATTAGTGCCCTCCATTAATACCCTCCATTAATACCCTCAATTTATACCCTCAATTTATACCCTCCATTAATACCCTCAATTTATACCCTCCATTAATACCCTCAATGTATACCCTCAATTTAAACCCTCAATTTATACCCTCCATTAATACCCTCAATTTATACCCTCCATTTATACCCTCAATTTATACCCTCCATTAATACCCTCAATTTATACCCTCCATTAATACCCTCAATTTATACCCTCCATTAATACCCTCAATTTATACCCTCAATTTATACCCTCCATTAATACCCTCAATTTTAAACCCTCCATTAATACCCTCAATTTATACCCTCCATTAATACCCTCAAGTTATACCCTCAAATTATACCCTCCATTTATACCCTCCATTAATACCCTCAATTTATACCCTCCATTAATACCCTCAATTTATACCCTCCATTAATACCCTCAATTTATACCCTCCATTAATACCGTCAATTTATACCCTCAATTTATACCCTCCATTAATACCCTCAATTTTAAACCCTCCATTAATACCCTCAATTTATACCCTCAATTTATACCCTCCATTAATACCCTTCATTAATACACTCCATTAATACCCTCAATTAATACACTCCATTAATACCCTCCATTAATACCCACCATTAATACCCTCCATTAATACCTTCCATTAATGCCCTCCATTTACACTCACCATTAATATCATGCCTTAACATGCTCCATTAACAGTAATTATAGCTACCATGAATAACCCCCTCATTTACAGTCATATTGTCATTCAGGAACATCCTCCATTAACAGTAACAATGCCATTCATTAACATCCCACATTAACAGTAATATTACAATTCATTAACATCCTCCATTAACAGTAATAAAACCATTCATTCTCGACCTCCATTAACAGTTATAAAACCATTCATTATCGACCTCCATTAACAGTAATAATACCATTCATTATCGCCCTCCATTTGCAGTAATAATACCATTCATTATCGCCCTCCATTGGCAGTAATAATACCATTCATTATCGCCCTCCATTGGCAGTAATAATACCATTCATTATCGCCCTCCATTAACAGTAATAATACCATTCATTATCGCCCTCCATTAACAGTAATAATAGCTACCATGAATAACCCCCTCATTTACAGTCATATCGTCATTCAGGAACATCCTCCATTAACAGTAACAATTCCATTCATTAACATCCCCCATTAACAGTAATATTACAATTCATTAACATCCTCCATTAACAGTAATAAAACCATTCATTATCGCCCTCCATTAACAGTAATAAAACCATTCATTATCGCCCTCCATTAACAGTAATAAATAATTCATTATCGCCCTCCATTGGCAGTAATAATACCATTCATTATCGCCCTCCATTAACAGTAATAATATCATTCATTATCGACCTCCATTAACAGTAATAATATCATTCATTATCGCCCTCCATTGGCAGTAATAATACCATTCATTATCGCCCTCCATTAACAGTAATAATACCATAAATTATCGCCCTCCATTGGCAGTAATAATATCATTCATTATCGCCTTCCATTAACAGCAACAATACCATTCAATATAGCCCTCCATTAACAGTAATAATACCATTCATTATCGCCCTCCATTAACAGTTATAATATCATTCATTATCGCCCTCCATTGGCAGTAATAATACCATTCATTATCGCCCTCCATTAACAGTAATAATACCATTCATTATCGCCCTCCATAAACAGTAATAATACCATTCATTATCGCCCTCCGTTAACAGTAATAATACCATTCATTATCGCCCTCCATTAACAGTTATAATACCAGTCATTATCGCCCTCCATTAACAGTAGTAATACCATTCATTTTCGCCCTCCATTAACAGTTATAATACCATTCATTATCGCCCTCCATTAACAGTAATAAGTAATTCATTATCGCCCTCCATTAACAGTAATAATATCATTCATTATAGCTAAAATGGATAGAATTATCATTCAAAAGCCCGCACGTTATCAGAAATGAACGGGCCACTGTAACTTGATAATGCCCTCATATTACTTGACGACGGGCCATCATCACGCTCGTTGTTAGACGACGTCAAAGGATAGGGATACGTAACGTCACGTTCAATAGTGACGTCATCTGGTTTGTTTCCATATTTGTTAAGTGGGTCAGTGACATTCGTGTTGATTGCAGTAAATGTTTCAAAACCGATATTGTTGTTTCTTTTTATTTGATAACAAATTCCATCCATTTTAGCTATAATAACGGTAACGCTATTTTTCAGGGCATTATCATTTGCAGAAGCCCTTGGTCTTTTCAACTGACCTCCTTCGTCGGGCAGTTAATGGAAGACCTCGGGCTTCTGCAAATGATAATGCCCTGAAAAATAGCGTTACCGTTATATTATCGCCCTCCATTTACAGTAGTAATACCATTCATTATCGCCCTCCATTAGCAGTAATAACATCATTTAATATTACCCAAGGTCGGCGCCTTTCCATCGGAGTCTTGGTCTGCGATGATGAAGGTGATCTCAACAAAGGTGTCTTCGGTTCGCATCATGTTACCTTTCTCAAAGACCTCACACTTCCGATAGAATGTCTACAAAATGAACAGAGATATGCTTTCTCACTTGCTTCCTGCTTGTTTTATCTCTCAGGGGCGGTCGGGTAGCCTAGTGGTTAAAGCGTTCGCTCGTCACGCTGAAGACCCGGGTTCGATTCCCGACATGGGTACAATGTGTGAAGCCCATTTCTGGTGTCCCCCCGCCGTGATATTGCTGGAATATTGCTAAAAGCGGCGTAAAACCATACTCACTCACTCACTTTATCTCTCATATGTAAGATATGTAAAAAGGCCTAAAAGGCGCGACAACGCCACACAAACTAACGGACAAAAGAAACGCCACCAAACATTTTTTTGGTCTGAAACAAAGTAGACGCGAAATTTAGTAACAGTTGATGTTTTATTATACAAAAAAACAATTATTCAATAACGGTATTTGATTTGAAAATAACAAGATCAAAAACCATGTACTGCAGACCCCTTTGATATGCTGGGTGCACTGTCCGGTATTCAATCACACCCGCAGAATCGACGTCGATCTCTTTTATAGTCCCGTGCTAAACACATGGCTCAGTATCGGATGTGACCCCCTCCAGCAACGATGCAGGCCCTAACACGATGTTGAACTGAGCACACGAGTCTCCCACATCCTGATTAGGGATCCTACGCCATTCTTCCTGCAGGGCAATTGTCAAGGCGCCCCTCGTTAATGGCGGCTGTTGACGTTTCCGATTCCTGCGTCCCACTTAGTCCCAGAGGTACTCTATGAGCGACAGGTCCGATGATCTGGCTGGCCGCTGTAATACGGTCACGTTGTTGGCGTTCAGAAAGTCGCTAGTGACTCGAGCTGTGTGAGGGGTGACGTGGTCCTGCTGAAACAGCGTCCGTGGGTGTCGTTGCAGGAAAGGAAGTACCACAGGCCCCAACACCTCATCAATCACGACGTGCAGTGAGATTTCCGTCGATGTTGACCAGATCTGTCTTCTGGTCCCCGCAGATGCCACCCCAGACCATGACACTACCACCTCCATACGGCTCCACTTGGACGCAACAATGTGCCGTCCGTTCACCACGTCGTCGGTAGATTCGAACCCGCCCATCAGACTTGAAGAGCTGGCACCTACTCTCGTCGCTGAAGAGCACTCTTCGCCAATTTCTCTGCTTCCACTGCTGTACTGTCCTGGCTCATCTCAGTCTGTGACGTCGGTAGAAACGTTAACGTCATGCCCTTGAAAGGTCGACAGGCACGGAGACCATACAGGCGGATTTGTCTTGCACCGGTCCCTCTGCTGACTGGATGTCCAAGGCTGTTTGCGGATGATGACGTCACAGTAAGGAATCTGGACTTAGGTGAAGCACCCGTAAATACCGGTCTTCCTATGTGGTCGTGACCTTGGGTCTCCCACTCCTCGGCCTGTCTGCAGTACTGCCAGTTTGCCTGTGACGTGTGACAAGTCTGGCGATGGTGCACTTGAAGCAGCCCATGATCCTGGCAACGTGCTCCTGTGTCGCTCCCATTTGGAACATACCGATGGCTCTCTCCCTCTGCTCTGCGGTCAGTCGAGGCATGTTCGTTGTTTTAAACGGTTTCATGTGATGAGAGAGTACAATCCTGCTCATGGTTATACCAGAATTTCTAACGGGTAACTTTGTGCACATTTTGCATTTTTTAGTTATTAAATTCACTTTTCTCGCGAATCACGTGAAGCACGTGCACATGTTCACAGGGAATAGGTAAGTTGCATTCCAGCTATGTGTTCCCAACTGTTTTCGTGTTGTTTGGCAAATTTGTTGAAAACTGACGACCATTATTTATTTGGTGGCGTTTCTTTTGCCCTTAAGTTTATTTTGACCCTGAAGCATGTGACCGCCTCCGTGGTGTAGTGGTGGAGCGTCCGCCCGCAGAGCGGAAGTCCGGGGTTCGATCCCCGGTCGCGTCATACCAAAAGACTTTAAACGATGGAACTTGTTGTTACCCTGTCTGGCGCTCGGCATTAAGGGGCTAAAACAAGGACTGGTCGGCTCGGAGTCAGTATACTGTGTCTGAGTGGGGTATTCATGTTAAACTGCGGCATGGTATCTCAGTGGACTAGCACTATAAATCGGCATCAGTCCGGACTAGTACAAGCAGCCACACACTAAACACACGTGCATGCACGTCGCAAAATAAATGCAATTATCTTGGACGCGACGTTAAACCCCATTTCACCTCATCTGAAGCCTTGCGCATTGTCGCATTGTCACCCAATTTATTCATAACGCGACAATATGACAATGAGACAAATGGTCAAAATGTCGCGTTGTCGCATCATTGCCTTTTGGTTAATTTTGACACCTTTAATGTTTTTGTAAGGGCGACAATGCGAGAACGCGACCCCGCGACAATGTTCATCCTAGGATTCCGTAGTTTTTCCAAGGCAACCGTACCTGAACGCATGTCTTCTTCTGATCCTTGTGGCTGAGCCAATACTAAAATACGTACCTAGGCTCTTTTTCTTGGGTTACTGATTATAATAACAAAAACAGGTCGGTAGGTAAAAAAAAACTGCATTGAACAGGATTCATTTAAACATCAAGTTTGATTTGGATCGGTAGGTAACTCTAGAGTCAGACTTGTCATGACGATTTATCGTAGGAAATAATTCTGTTTTGGTCACATAAACATCCCTTGGATTGAATATTGTCAAAGCGGTCTGATTCTGATTTTATTTAAGTTTTAATTTCAAGGCGGCAGATGTGCAAAAATATTATGTACAACCTTGACACATCTAGCAAGGATTCTGGGTGAGAATAAGAATTGGTGCTCGTGCTATCAACCTCTGGTTTGTCTGCCTAGTCGCGATTATCAACAGGCGACCTTCTCACTTGGAAGTGACAAGTAAGTCCATTACACACACGGCTATATTCAGAGCATCCTGGTCGCTTGTCTCAGTACCACAGTGTCACAGCAAAGCCAGTTCAATAGTAATAGCTGTGCAACTATTACTATTAAGGGACATGGAGTCTGTTTTTCAATATGTTGATGTTTAACTTACTTTTATCGTAACCTTTTGCAAATTAACACAATTTGCCATACAAATATGTGATAAATCATGTATAAAAACATCCGAAAACATGGAAAATGTACTTTTAAGTAGCTAAAGTAAGACGAGTTCTATGGATGAACAACTTCTTTATTACAATTGGTGCGACGTTTCGGTGTAGATCCTAACACCTTTATCAAGCAAGTGATGGATAGGGCTAAACAACATAGGTATATATACACTTATTGACATCTGGCTTCCAATTAGCTTAATCACCTCTCTGTGCCCATCAACTAGTCACTGTAACAACCTAGATGTCACCAATTGTAATAAGGAAGTTGTTAATCCATAGAACTCGTCTTACTTTATCACTCCAACTTCTAAATGCCACTCAAAGAAGTTTTAAGTAGCTATTGAGTCGCTGAAATGTGAAGTGAAAATGTCAAAAACTAAAATGGAAATGTCAAAAACCAAAACGAAAAGGTCAAAAACTAAAATGAAAATGTCAAAAACACAAAACGAAAAGTTTTGACATTTTCGTTTCGTTTTTCAGCGATTCAATATCTTCTTTACACATGATTTATCACATATTTGTAAGACAAATCGTGTTAATTTCCAAAAGGTTACGATAAATGTAAGTGAAATATCAAATATGGAAAAACAGACTCCATGTCCCTTATGGGCCACCGTAGTGCAACAGTACCACATCAGTATCACTACAGTATCACTACAGTATCACATCAGTATCACAACAGTATCACATCAGTATCACTACAGTATGACTACATACAGTACTTACAAGTGTGGGCGGTCGGGTAGCCTAGTGGTTAAAGCGTTCGCTCGTCACGCCGAAGACCCGGGTTCGATTCCCGACATGGGTACAATGTGTGAAGCCCATTTCTGGTGTCCCCCGCCGTGATATTGCTGGAATATTGCTAAAAGCGGCGTAAAACCATACTCACTCACTCACTCACTCACTTACAAATGTGACCCTTTCCCTGAGGTGGCGGATCGACTCCAGCACCTCGTGATGATTCCACGAGGACACGTCTGTCTTGTTGATGTACCTCAGCTCATCTCCGGACCTGCAAAAGTAATTTATTGTGTTTTGCAGAATAATACTGTAATTTAATTAATGGGGCGCTAAGACTATGTTCGAGTGAAATATCTACATTTTATTACTTGCCCGTGAAGAGATCACCCGTTTAATAAACATACAGCTTTATTACACATTGTGTAATACCAAAACGCGTGCTTATGTACTCTCGGAACACGTTTCACGAACAAATATTGAAAACTCTCAACATCCCTTGGCGTATTCAACGACATTTTGTGTGGAGATGATAGATCACTGGGAGGAGTTTATGCACACTCGATGACCCCAGCAACCTTGTTGCTAGGCTGACGTCACATGGCATTGTTTCGCCGATGGATCTTGCAACAAAATTCAACAAATTACGTCATCGGGTATTGTGACGTCATTGTAAACTTTGAGCTGCAAGGCCCCGTTCCACAAGGCGATCGTACTCTAGCGCAACGAGTCTTTAGTCTAAGTTAAATTATGTGAGTTGTGATAGCCCTAGCACTACGATAATTTTGTGGGACGAACGCCTGAATTCTAAAGGTGGACCATTGTATGATATTAAATGCATACGTTTCAACTTTTGACGTGTTTGAAGTATTATTCTGTTAAACTCAATTGGATTATGCCATGGATCGTGTAGGTGTCAGCCTATTTACACTCAACAGTATAATTCTAAAAACATAAATGACAAGTAATAAATAAAATACTAAACTCGCTCTCGTGTAAAACCAATTTTATGAAACTCGTGAATAGTTGTGGTATCTGACTCGCTTTCGCTCGTCAGATACCAGAACTATTCACTCGTTTCATAAAATTGGTATTACACGGGAGCTCGTTTAGTATTCTATATGTAGATATCGCTGCAATGAAATTGCATCACAATGCTTTGCAGACCATTGTGTTATTGGCTACATGACGTCACAATCAAATGACATCACTAATGGCTCTCCTACTGAAGCTGTTAGCACACACTCAGCATAACACCACTGCCACAGGCTAATTTGCATATCACGTGACCGGACTTTCCTCTTGTTTGTAAACAAACGCGCTTTTACAGAAATCAGTATAGAACGGACTAATGCAAGTATTTGGGGGCGCTTACATATTGTTTTGCATAACTATATAGATATGCTACTACAACTGCGACAGTGAGTTGCATGACAATATATATTTATGCATCAAAGTGACCGTGTCGCTAGCTCTCCGTTGGGCTTCGATGACAGCACGTGGAGCCGTACAACCAATGTAAACATAGGATAACTACGCAAAAACAAGTAGATTTTTACGTATTTGCATACTTTCTCAATGAAAGTTAACCATTCTTTGACATTTGTTTATGAAAATGTATAGACTTGTCAAACATGAAACGAATGAAAAGCATATGCAATATCTTGAATGGACTGTGAAAGATGTGACGAATCGTCACATGGCGCTGGCCTGTGGCAGAGGTACTATGCTAGCTGGCTGCCGGCCGCATGGAACTCTGGGTAGGAGAGTGCTGTAAGCAGTGCTTTGAAAACACAGTATGTTTATCTCCATTCTACCATGACTGAATAAAACGCGAACTCTTAGGTGTTAGCAAATATATTGATGAAGCGGTAAGGGTTGAGTCTATTGTGTTGAGTGGGTCGTCGATCTGAATTACGGAATCACCGACAACAGCCTTAAAACAAAATATGACGCTCTATATGCTGCAGAAGTTTGTTTACACCGTAATATTTCACTCGAACATATGACAGGCATACAAGCAAGGAAACTTGGAAAGCTTATATGAGATGGGGTCGTGCATCGGGTTGCATAAGCTTCTCTGGGTAATTTGTAATCACCACACGCGATGCCTTTGAATAAGCCCAGCGACTTGGAGAATTTTCAACATTTGTCAGTTAAACTTGTTCACTTAAACTCTGTGTAATTATTGTTATTAAACAGTGGTATCTTCAACGGGCGAGTATTAAATATCTCAAGTTTGCAGTATATGCAATATTGTCGCCCTGCATATATATTTTGTACTATCCAGCTGTATAAATCTCCAACCCAGCTTGTTGGAAGTGAAGTCCTACCTAGTCTGTCCCGTCATGCAGTGTGAAGTCCTACCAAGTCTGTCCCGTCATGCTGTGTGAAGTCCTACCTAGTCTGTCCCGTCCTGCAGTGTGAAGTCCTACCTGGTCTGTCCCGTCATGCTGTGTGAAGTCCTACCTAGTCTGTCCCGTCATGCTGTGTGAAGTCCTACCTAGCCTGTCCCGTCATGCCGTTTGAAGTCCTACCTAGCCTGTCCCGTCATGCTGTGTGAAGTCCTACCTAGTCTGTCCCGTCATGCTGTGTGAAGTCCTACCTAGTCTGTCCCGTCATGCTGTGTGAAGTCCTACCTAGTCTGTCCCGTCATGCTCTGTGATGTCATACTCAACATGTCCCGTCAAGTTCAGACAATCTGATGATGGACCAGAATATCCAGTGAAGCGATAGACCATTTACTGACTTCGTTGGAACTAAAAAAAGAATTACATTTGCTGTGTATAAGTGCAGAGAATCTGCTGCAAATATAGAATTGCGTAAACCTTACCGGAGATGGTTACAGACTCCCTCCTCAACTTGATGGAGTCGGTGGCAATAATGGCCATTTTTCTGCTTCTGTGTGGCCAATGAGGCGCCGAACGCCCCAAACGTCGGACGAGCACTGTCAACTGTCTCCGTGTCTGTTACTGTATCGTCATCCGTCTCGTCCAGAGCGCGAAATAAGATTGGTGACCAGTCACTCACTGATTTGTCAACTGGTGGTTCGTCCATTGAAGGTACTGTGTCTGCTGAAAGATCATTTGGTGGTACGTCATCTGCTGATCTGTTATCTGCTGGTCCGTTATCTGGTGGTCTGTTATCTGGTGATCCGTTATCTGGTAATCTGTTATCTGCTGGTCTGTTATCTGGTGATCCGGTATCTGCTGATCTGTTATCTGCTGATCTGATATCTGCTGATCCGTTAACTGGTGATCCGTTATCTGGTGATCCGGTATCTGCTGATCTGTTATCTGCTGATCTGATATCTGAAGATCCGGTATCTGGTGATCCGTCATCTGGTGATCCGGTATCTGCTGATCTGTTATCTGCTGATCCGTTATCTGCTGATCCGGTATCTGCTGATCTGTTATCTGCTGATCCGTTATCTGCTGATCCGTTATCTGGTGATCCGTCATCTGGTGATCCGGTATCTGCTGATCTGTCATCTGCTGATCTGATATCTGGTGATCCGTTATCTGTTGACCCGTTATCTGGTGAACCGTCATCTGCTGATATGTTATCTGCTGATGCGTTATCTGGTGATCCGGTGTCTGCTGATCTGTTATATGCTGATCCGGTATCAGTCAAACAAGCAGTAGGTTGCCTGGCAAGCGTTCCCGGGTCCCCAGACAGACTGTCAGTTGGGGGTTCCTCCACCGAGCCCGGGGATACCTCATCTACAGCACTGATGAACCTGGAACCGCAACACAATGACACAGAATCTGTATACTGTGTAGTGTTTATAATATAGAAGATGAACATCACGTTTTACTTAAAGTACTGTAACAATAACATATGTGTCAATGTTCATTGTGCCATGAATCTTAGAAAGCTTGCACTTATTCCCATGACTTTATGTAATTTAACAGTTACCATGATGGCTAATAGCTAAAGTAATAAGTGTCCCTCCTTTGTGTTGTGCAACCCCTACTGGAAATAGCTGGAGTAAATTGCATCCCTCTTCATTGTTGTGCAACCCCTACTGGACAATGGCTAAAGTAAATAGGGTCCCCCCTTTGTGTTGTGCAACCCCTACTGGAAATAGCTGGAGTAAATAGCACCCCTCTTTATTGTTGTGCAACCCCTACTGGACAATAGTTAAAGTAAATAGGGTCCCCCCTTTGTGTTGTGCAACCCCTACTGGAAATGGCTGGAGTAAATGGCATCCCTCTTTATTGTTGTGCAACCCCTACTGGACAATGGCTAAAGTAAATAGGGTCCCCCCTTTGTGTTGTGCAACCCCTACTGGAAATGGCTGGAGTAAATGGCACCCCTCTTAATTGTCGTGCAACCCCTACTGGACAATAGCTAAAGTAAATAGACCCCCCCCCCCCCCCCCCCCCCCCCGTTAAATGAGCAATTGTAATACTAATATGAAGGTGTTAACTTTGTGTAACTGTACAATCTGCTCACGTCACGTAAATCAAATGTAGTCTGGTACCCCAACTGCGTGTGTCCGGCGAGTGAGTGAGTGAGTATGGTTTTACGCCGCTTTCAGCAATATTCCAGCCATATCACACCAGACACCATAAATGGGCTTCACACGTTGTACCTATGTCGGGAATCGAATCTTCGGCGTGACAAGCGAACGCCTTAACCACTAGGCTACCCGACCGGCCGCGTGTTCCTGGACGACCGCGAGCAGGATGTGCTGTCGAAGGAAACCCCCACGGTTGAGCTGAAACTCTGCTCCTGTACGTCCAAGCAGGAACCTCCATTCGTTATGTTTGTGACGTTGTACACGTGATCTGCTCATTGTGTAGAGGCAGGTGGATTGTTTGCATGTCAAAAACGTACTTAATGTTTCTGAACTGTGAGAGCAATAATTCCCCCGAGTGTTAGTTTCCTGAAGACCGTGTCAAGAAATATCAGTCCATTGCTTTCCTTATTGATTCAAATCTATTAAACATGTTTCATACGGTGGCCCATAAGGGACATGAAGTCTTTTTTTAATATTTTGATATTTCACTTACTTTTATCCTTATCATTATCATTTGCAAATTAACACAATAAAGCGAAAATGTCAAAAACTAAAATGAAAATAAAGAAAACTATTTCCATCGCGGTAGAAATAGTGTTCACCGCGGTGGAAATAGTTTTCTGTATTTTCCTTTTAGTTTTTGACATTTTCGCTTTTGTTTTTGACCTTTTCGTTTTTGTTTTGGGCATTTTCCTTTTAGTTTTTGACATTTTCGCTTCACTTTTCAGCGATTCAATATCTTCTTTATATATGATTTATCACATATTTGTTAAAAGTTACGATAACAGTCAGTGAAATATCAAAATATTGAAAAACAGACTCCATGTCCCTTATGGGCCACCGTAGTTTCAGTTACACCGCTATCGATTTTCTTCGCTAGTGGAAATGCTGCCCATCGCGACACATTCGTGACCAACTCGTGTTATTCCGGGACAAGCCGAATAGCAGGTTACGGAAAGGGGCGAGTGGTGACGAATGATCGCGACAAAGTGTATTGTTGAGGCCCCAATCTCACAATAAAGTTTGGGGTGGAGGGGCGGAACGGGTCGGATCCTGTTTTAAATGGCTAAGTTTAAAATTGCTTGTAACCCGTGATGATCCGGGGTAGAATAGGTCTTCAGCAACCCATTCTTGCCGTAAAAAGGCGACTATGCTTGTCGGAAGAGACGATTAACGGGATCGGGTGGTCAGGCTCGCTGACTTGGTTGATGCATGTCATCGTATCCCAATTGCGTAGATCGATACTTATGATGTCAATCACTGGACTGTCTGGTCTATACTCGATTATTCACAGACCGCAATCACATAGTTGGAATATTGCTGAGTGCAACGTTAAACAACAAAGACTAACTTACATGCCCTTCCTTCTGACAGTGAACGCAATATCCTATAGCAACAGAACACTTCCTGTTTAGCCGATCATATTGCATCTACAGTCGGATGTCGCCTGCAGTACTTCCTTCCGACTTGTACACCTCCTGGTTTAATTCAAATCCTCTTTGTCATGAATAATTCATTTTCTAGTTAAACGGATCAACTTACTTTCCGAAAGGATATTCTCAAAATTAAAAAAAACTCGACCCCGACCACGTGTTTTATTTCAGCCTGTGTCCAGGTGCATATTAACTATGCGAGGATTGTCCCATGGGCGCACGTCGATATGTTGTCAATGCTCTCGTCATACAGGTGTATAAAAACATGGTCGTGAACGGGTGGGTGTCTCGTCACAAGGGTGTATAACACATGGTCGTGAACGGGTGGGTGTCTCGTCACATGGGTGTATAACACAGGGTCGTGAACGGGTGGGTCTCTCGTCATACGGGTGTATAACACATGGTCGTGAACGGGTGGGTCTCTCGTCATACGGGTGTAAAACACATGGTCGTGAACGGGTGGGTCTCTCGTCATACGGGTGTATAACACATGGTCGTGAACGGGTGGGTGTCTCGTCACACGGGTGTATAACACATGGTCGTGAACGGGTGGGTGTCTCGTCACACGGGTGTATAACACAGGGTCGTGAACGGGTGGGTCTCTTGTCATACGGGTGTATAACACAGGGTCGTGAACGGGTGGGTCTCTCGTCACACGGGTGTATAACACAGGGCCGTGAACGGGTGGGTCTCTCGTCACACGGGTGTATAACACAGGGTCGTGAACGGGTGGGTGTCTCGTCACACGGGTGTATAACACATGGCCGTGAACGGGTGGGTCTCTCGTCATACGGGTGTGTAACACATGGCCGTGAACGGGTGGGTGTCTCGTCACACGGGTGTGAACACAGGGCCGTGAACGGGTGGGTCTCTCGTCACACGGGTATATTACACAGGGTCGTGAACGGGTTGGTCTCTCGTCACACGGGTGTATAACACATGGTCGTGAACGGGTGGGTCTCACGTCAAACAGGTATATTACACAGGGTCGTGAACAGGTGGGTCTCACGTCACACGGGTATATTACACAGGGTCGTGAATGGGTGGGTCTCTCGTCACACGGGTGTATAACACATGGCCGTGAACGGGTGGGCCTCTCGTCATACGGGTGTATAACACATGGTCGTGAACGGGTGGGTCTCTCGTCGTATAACACAGGGCCGTGAACGTGTGGGTCTCTCGTCTCATCACACAGGTGTATAAAACATGGTCGTGAACGGGTATGTGTCTCGTCACAAGGGTGTATAACACATGGTCGTGAACGGGTGGGTGTCTCGTCACACGGGTGTATAACACAGGGTCGTGAACGGGTGGGTCTCTCGTCATACGGGTGTATAACACATGGTCGTGAACGGGTGGGTGTCTCGTCATACGGGTGTAAAACACATGGTCGTGAACGGGTGGGTCTCTCGTCATACGGGTGTATAACACATGGTCGTGTACGGGTGGGTGTCTCGTCACAAGGGTGTATAACACAGGGCCGTGAACGGGTGGGTCTCTCGTCACAAGGGTGTATAACACAGGGCCGTGGAAAGGTGGGTCTCACGTCACACGGGTGTATAACACAGGGTCGTGAACGGGTGGGTGTCTCGTCACACGGGTGTATAACACAGGGCCGTGAACGGGTGGGTCTCACGTAACACGGGTGTATAACACAGGGCCGTGGAAAGGTGGGTCTCTCGTCACATGGGTGTATAACAAAGGGCCGTGGAAAGGTGGGTCTCTCGTCACACGGGTGTATAACACAGGGCCGTGAACGGGTGGGTCTCTCGTCACACGGGTGTATAACACAGGGCCGTGGAAAGGTGGGTCTTTTGTCACACGGGTGTATAACACAGGGCCGTGAACGGGTGGGTCTCTCGTCTCATCACACAGGTGTATAAAACATGGTCGTGAACGGGTGGGTGTCTCGTCACAAGGGTGTATAACACATGGTCGTGAACGGGTGGGTGTCTCGTCACACGGGTGTATAACACAGGGTCGTGAACGGGTGGGTCTCTCGTCATACGGGTGTATAACACATGGTCGTGAACGGGTGGGTCTCTCGTCATACGGGTGTAAAACACATGGTCGTGAACGGGTGGGTCTCTCGTCATACGGGTGTATAACACATGGTCGTGTACGGGTGGGTGTCTCGTCACAAGGGTGTATAACACATGGTCGTGAACGGGTGGGTGTCTCGTCACAAGGGTGTATAACACAGGGCCGTGAACGGGTGGGTCTCTCGTCATACGGGTGTATAACACAGGGTCGTGAACGGGTGGGTCTCTCGTCACACGGGTGTATAACACAGGGCCGTGAACAGGTGGGTCTCTCGTCACACGGGTGTATAACACAGGGTCGTGAACGGGTGGGTGTCTCGTCACACGGGTGTATAACACATGGCCGTGAACGGGTGGGTCTCTCGTCATACGGGTGTATAACACATGGCCGTGAACGGGTGGGTGTCTCGTCACACGGGTGTGAACACAGGGCCGTGAACGGATGGGTCTCTCGTCACACGGGTGTATAACACAGGGCCGTGGTAAGGTGGGTCTTTCGTCACACGGGTGTATAACACAGGGCCGTGGAAAGGTGGGTCTCACGTCACACGGATGTATAACACAGGGCCGTGAACGGGTGGTTCTCTCGTCACACGGGTGTATAACACAGGGCCGTGGAAAGGTGGGTCTCACGTCAAACGGGTGTATAACACAGGGCCGTGAACGGGTGGGTCTCTCGTCACACGGGTGTATAACACATGGTCGTGAACGGGTGGGTCTCTCGTTACACGGGTGTATAACACAGGATCGTGAACGGGTGGGTCTGTCTTGAACGGGTGGGTATCTCGTCACACGGGTGTATAACACATGGCCGTGAACGGATGGGTGTCTCGTCACACGGGTGTATAACACAGGGCCGTGAACGTGTTGGCCTCTCGTCACAAGGGTGTATAACACAGGGCCGTGGAAAGGTGGGTCTCACGTCACACGGGTGTATAACACAGGGTCGTGAACGGGTGGGTGTCTCGTCACACGGGTGTATAACACAGGGCCGTGAACGGGTGGGTCTCACCTAACACGGGTGTATAACACAGGGCCGTGGAAAGGTGGGTCTCTCGTCACACGGGTGTATAACAAAGGGCCGTGGAAAGGTGGGTCTCACGTCACACGGGTGTATAACACAGGGCCGTGGAAAGGTGGGTCTCACGTAACACGGGTGTATAACACAGGGCCGTGGAAAGGTGGGTCTTTCGTCACACGGGTGTATAACACAGGGCCGTGGAAAGGTGGGTCTTTCGTCACACGGGTGTATAACACAGGGCCGTGGAAAGGTGGGTCTTTCGTCACACGGGTGTATAACACAGGGCCGTGAACGGGTGGGTCTCTCGTCACAAGGGTGTATAACACAGGGTCGTGAACGGGTGGGCCTATCGTCACACGGATGTATAAAACAGGGTCGTGAACGGATGAATCTTCACGAGTAACCAAAGTTTGCAGTCTGATTTGTCCGATACATATCGAGTAAATTTATGAGCGTGAAAAAATGTATTTGCATCGTCGGCTCAGGCTGGGCTGCAGCTAATTAATCGCCTGAGGCGACATTGCATAACGGACATCGCGAATGCCACTACTGACCTATTAAACATCTTTGAGAGGCATTTAGAAGTAGGAATCTTTGTAAGTAAGGATAAGATATATGGATGAACACCTGCCTCCTATCTTGTATATATACTTGTCAACCGTACTCTGTAAATCACTTGCTTGATAACGATGTTAGAACCTACACCGAAACGTCGCTCCTAATTGTAATAAAGAAGTTGTTCATCCATATATCTTATCCTTACTTACTGAGCGACTAAAGCAAGCGCGACCCTGAACCACTCAATGGCCCACTCTGCGTTGTCACTCGACAGTCCTTCACAGACTAAAACCAGCATTGTCTTCCTGTCCGGAAGATCAACAAATTCGACCTCGACGTAGCCTGTTGTGTTTCGTTCCTCATTTCAGCCATACTGTCTTGTTAATACATGAATATGTAATTCTGTTAACGAGTAGGTATACTTACTTTTCGTCAGCCATTTCGCCTTTGGGTTTCTATATATTTCTAAATATTTCCTTGAACTGTCTCTAGTTTCGAGACTATCAAGGATGGTTGATAAATGAGGGTTTTCCACTGTTGTAATGGTATTCCATCTATAGGTCTCTAGAGGTAACACGTGACATGGTTAGGCCACGCCCAAATAGGTCTAACAGGTCGTTACAACAAGGATGGTTGAAATAGGTTTCAGTCGTTTAAGGAAGAAATTGTAAAATGAATTTGTTTTAATTCTCTGTTAATTTAAACCAAACTATTTGTCATTTCTGATACTTCAATAAATAAATGAATAGATAAATAAATAAGCAAATAAGTGAGTGAGTGTGTATGGTTTTACGCCGCTTTTAGCAATATTCCAGCAATATCACGGCGGGGGACACCAGAAATGGGCTTCACACATTGTACCCATGTCGGGAATCGAACCCGGGTCTTTTGCGTGACGAGCGAACGCTTTAACCACTAGGCTACCCGACCGCCCCAAATGAATGAATGAATGAATGAATGAACGAACGAACGAACGAACGAACGAACGAACGAACGAACGAACGAACGAACGAACGAACGAACGAACGAACAGTACACGGTTGGTTTAAGCACTGTTTCTTGATAACCTATACCCAGGATACATATAGTTTAACGTGAAAAGAAAATCCTCTTTTACGCTTTTTTTAAACATCCCATACATGTCCTGTTTTCGATCTCCTTGGTGGCATGTTCTGAGCTAATGAGTGGGACACAGTTTCTCAATTCTCAGACACGTTGTATCAAAAAGTTGCTGCTGAAAATAATAAGTATCAACAACAGGTGGGTGTATCCTGTACCACTCTGGCACCCGTCTCAAACACACGCAAAGACAAGTCAAGTGTTAAAAAACCCGGGACCATATGATACTCGTATGACCCAATGTCAGGCTTTGTTACTATGTACCCAGTTTGATGAAAGATGCGCTTTGTTACTACCCAGTTTGATGAAAGATACGCTTTGTTACTACCCAGTTTGATGAAAGATACGCTTTGTTACTACCCAGTTTGATGAAAGATACGCTTTGTTACTACCCAGTTTGGTGAAGGATAAGCTTTGTTACTACCCTGTTTGGTGAAGGATACGCTTTGTTACTACCCTGTTTGGTGAAGGATAAGCTTTGTTACTATCCAGTTTGATGAAAGATACGCTTTGTTACTACCCAGTTTGGTGAAAGATACGCTTTGTTACTACCCAGTTTGGGGAAGGATACGCTTTGTTACTCCCCAGTTTGATGAAAGATACGCTTTGTTACTACCCAGTTTGGTGAAGGATACGCTTTGTTACTCCCCAGTTTGGTGAAGGATACGCTTTGTTACTACCAAGTTTGGTGAAGGATACGCTTTGTTACTACCTAGGTTGATGAAAGATACGCTTTGTTACTACTAAGGTTGATGAAAGATACGCTTTGTTACTACACAGCTTGGTGAAGGATACGCTTTGTTACTACCCAGTTTGATGAAAGATACGCTTTGTTACTACTAAGGTTGATGAAAGATACGCTTTGTTACTACCTAGTTTGATGAAAGATACGCTTTGTTACTACACAGCTTGGTGAAGGATACGCTTTGTTACTACCCAGTTTGATGAAAGATACGCTTTGTTACTACCTAGTTTGGTAAAGGATACGCTTTGTCACTCCCCAGTTTGATGAAAGATGCGCTTTGTTACTACCCAGTTTGATGAAAGATACACTTTGTTACTACTAAGGTTGATGAAAGATACGCTTTGTTACTACCTGGTGTTATGAAAGATACGCTTTGTTACTACCCAGTTTGGTGAAGGATACGCTTTGTCACTACCCTGTTTGGTGAAGGATAAGCTTTGTTACTACCCAGTTTGGTGAAGGATACGCTTTGTTACTACTAAGGTTGATGAAAGATACGCTTTGTTACTACACAGCTTGGTGAAGGATACGCTTTGTTACTACCCAGTTTGATGAAAAATACGCTTTGTTACTACCCAGTTTGATGAAAGATACGCTTTGTTACTACCTAGTTTGATGAAAGATACGCTTTGTTACTACACAGCTTGGTGAAGGATACGCTTTGTTACTACCTAGTTTGATGAAAGATACGCTTTGTTACTACCCAGTTTGATGAAAGATACGCTTTGTTACTACCCAGTTTGGTGAAGGATAAGCTTTGTTACTACCCAGTTTGGTGAAGGATAAGCTTTGTTACTACCCAGTTTGGTGAAGGATACTCTTTGTTACTCCCCAGTTTGGTGAAGGATAAGCTTTGTTACTACCCAGTTTGGTGAAGGATACGCTTTGTTACTACCTAGTTTGGTAAAGGATACGCTTTGTCACTCCCCAGTTTGGTGAAAGATACGCTCTGTTACTACCCAGTTTGGTGAAGGCTACGCTTTCTTACTACTCAGTTTGGTGAAGGATACGCTTTGTTTCTCACCAGTTTGGTGAAGGATACGCTTTGTTACTACACTGTTTGGTGAAGGATAAGCTTTGTTACTACTCAGTTTGGTGAAGGATAAGCTTTGTTACTACTCAGTTTGGCGAAGGATACGCTTTGTTACTACCCAGTTTGGTGAAGGATACGCTTTGTTACTACCCAGTTTGGTGAAGGATACGCTTTGTTACTACCCAGTTTGGTGAAGGATACGCTTTGTTACTACCCAGTTTGGTGAAAGAAAAACGACCAACATATTACCCTTCTTGATGAGGGGGCGTCAGGGAAGACGGAAGTTTCAACATAAACGTTGGCTAAAAAAACTTCAAACAGTCTTAAGCGACGACGTTCACACAAAGTTTGGCCTTCACTCTATGCAGCTTCATGTTCCAATTAACTCGCACAAAGTGAAAGTAAATTCTTATTTTCTATATCACGAACAATGTAAATCTTTTCAAAATTTCATTTAGTACGTATGACTTATGTTTACACAGATAACCATACAACAACCATGAATGAAGTGATTCCTCATTAGTAGCATCTTCCCGAGGCAAGGGAATTAACTGTCTCTAAAAGTCCAGTTTCCACCCTTGCCGAACTTGCCTGGAATTTCTTGGCTCGACCGTAGCGCCACCAGTGGCTATTACGAGTTATGTCCAGTCTATGCCCCTCTTATGGACCAATCAGATTTCACCTCTCGTATCACTTGCATTTTCTTCAAACAAAATGGCGGCGCCCAGTCAAGACGATCTAAACGATGATCAAGACATATATTGTAATAAAATGAATCTTACCTCGCAAAGTGCATCAAATCGCGTGAGCACCTTGATTAAAAACATGAAAAGATTGGGAAAGTATGTGTCGTCGCCCAGTTGACGGTAAACAGCTTTTGCAAATCCTCCAGTCGACTGAAATCTGCACGTTGAAATCCATGTTGTTTACGAACCGGATGTCGATTTTGTTGCATGACTTTGATTGGATTATGCAGATTCGTTAGTTCAGCCAAAATATAACTCTATAATTGCAGCCTAGTTTGGAAACTGGATTTTCACAGTCAGTTAACTCCCTTGACTCGGGAAGATGCATTAGCAGAGGTGACAAGAGCGTTTATCATACCCCCATGTTAGAGAGGTGAGATCAAATTTGTTTACGAGATCTTGATAAAATACTATGCCTTGGAGGGAAATAAATTTGTCAGCGAGAGAATAAATTTGTTACACCCCGACACGAACAAGACCTGCTGCACGTGGATTTCTGAGAGGGGAAAAAAGCTCACTTATACCCCGCCTCGAAGCAAAAAGGTGCACGCTTTTTCTGAGTCAATGAACAGCTGTTTCTATCAATTTTGAATTCGCCGAGTGGTATAAAACCTGACGAGTGACACTGCTACAACTTATATGTATACTCATAGTGTTCTTCGGTGACATCTTTTGTGGTTTGTGTACAAAAAAATATTGAAATAATTTTATCATTAGATGAGAAAGGTCTGTTAAAAACTACCTCAGTAAGTCAGTCACAATGACAGTGCGTCGTAATACATTTAAATCAAGTACAAGACGTCAAAATGGCCGACACGATAAACGTGACGGTTGTAATGTTGTTAATGGACCTGTGGCTGTTACAAGTTTTTGTCATCATTGTTCAACTGGCCGATCATTGAAAGGTGATTATAAAAATGTGTCAGATAAATACTTAGATAAATTCATACTGTCCCAGGGGGCAGGGGTGGCCCGGTCGTCTAAGGCGCCGCGTTTCGCTATGCAGAGTTGCGTCCCTTGAAACATATGATTGTGGCTTTGAATCCCGGTTCGCCCCGATTATGTTTCTAGGTTTGTCAGCACCATACCAGTGCTCGTGGGTTTCACCGAAGTGGTAAACGTCTGAGACCTGCAACACTTCGGGCTTTCCTTCCACATTAGGCTGACACGCCGTGATATAACTGGAATACTGTTAAAAGAGGCGTTAAACCCAACTAACTCACTCACTCACTCGCTCATACTGTACCTGTCGATACTACTACGATAGTCTAGTTTGGATGTGCATTTCTTCGTTTTATTCACTGGGATGGGTCGTTGCAAACATATTCTTGAACGGACAGACAGTTAAGCTCTCTGATTTACCCCAGCGCATGCTAAAGTTCAAGATCAATGGGTCTAAATGATCAGAAACAACGCTATTGTATTTTCATTGTATTTGCAAGTGCGGCGTTAAACAACAAACCAACCAACAAAATCGTGCTAGGGAATTCCCAGGGGTTTCCCCAGGAATGTGGAACTGCTCCGTCACTGTCATTTCCAGAAAAATCATGTGAAAGACGGATATGAGCGTCAAAATGAGTCGTTCACACATTTATGAACTTCATTTTAGCTTCCATGCGACCCACATCTCGTCCAATTGAAAGCCATATTCGGGTAAACTTCACATTAAAAACAATATCAAACTTTGAACCAACTCAAAATTTAAAAAAAAATGGGTTTATTTCCTAAATGGGCAAAGACCCCAAAGACCAAGGTATTTAAAAGAGTGAGTGAGTGAGTTGGGTTTAACGCCGCTTTTAACAGTATTCCAGCTTAATGTGGGAGGAAAGCCCGAAGTGATGCAGGTCTCAGACGTTTACCACTTCGGTGAAACCCAAGAGCACGGGTATGCTGCTGACAAATCTAGAAACA